GCGCATATTAGGAAAATACATATTACTTTTACATTCATATAGTTCATACATAAAATATTTTTTGTTAAGCAAAGGCCCATTCATTAGTGGCAGAACATTGTAAAGCCAAGCCACATTCAGGTAAACTGTTTTAAGCAACTGGGTTCTCCTACTAAAAAAATAGACAAGGTTCTGAAGCCATCGAAGCTGAAAACTGGACAACATTACCTCTCAATTGTTTTGACTACTTCCACAATCTATTTTATTTTGATTAAATAACTCTCCAACACTCAATGCTTTACCTGACAACATGGGCATTGGAAACCAAAAGCCAGCAAGCTGTTAGATAATTAACATTTTAAATATTCAATGAGATGGACAATTTTCAGTTCGGGAGAACTGATTTTTACATCTAAAATACTCAAACCAGCTTAGATGTTTTCTGCACAATAGGCTAACTGCCACAGGTAAGTAAGCATAGTTCCCATAGTGCTAAGGAATTCTAAAGGAATGCACACAATTCAACCTAAATTAGCTTAAATTGTTAGGCTTTGAAACAAAAAAAACATCTAATATACCAAAAACGTATACCACTAAGTTCTAAAACAAAGCGAACGTACCACTGGTTTACAGTGAAAAGAGATGACTCTGATGTTGTCCATCTTTGGAAATTTCAAAACAACGCCTTTACACACAGAGATGATACAGTGATGAGAACCAGGGACTGTAACAGGAAATCCAAATAATTTAGCAATATACAGGTTGAATGTATGAGATGTAATACTTGGATGAGTCTAATACACTTTACTTAAAATAAAACCTGTTAATTTTTTTGGTAATGATCTAAAACATTCGGTCAATTTTCCTTCATAAATTAGAAAGAAAATAGCAAACTCGAACTAAGATTTTCCCCAAAGTATGAACATTCTCATTTCCAAATATGCAATGTGCAAAACCGAAAGTATTTGTTGTAGCTTGATTTGTGTTTCTGTAAAGAAAAATTGATGTCAGCCGGGTCAGTTACGCAACCTATAGGAGAAATAATATCATGCACAGATCCAGCAAAGCATTGTCCTTCACCCCAGAACACACAGGTGTTTGGATGTTTAGTGAAGATGAGACTGACTGACTGACAGAATCGTCCCTCTACTGAATTGCTTTCCGTGTGCAGGATAACATGTGAAGGAATGGGGAAAAAAGTGGTCACGGAAAGTTTGAGCAAAAGTAATCCAATTTTAAAGAATCAACCAAAATGAATAAACCCAGGTAAGGAAGACTGAGAAATGAACTAACGTTTACAAAATTAGAGCTTTAAAAAAAAGCCAAGGAGGTAGGGCTGAAGGGGAAAGATGACCAGCAAAATGTATTTGAAGTGTGAGCAATTAAAATTAATAAATCAGTTACATGCCTGGACACTGAAATCGGGTTAAAGAACACCATTTGTTGGTGCCATATGGTTTAACAATACATTGGTCAACACCCAGGTGCTCAAGAGATTCTTTACAGATTGGAGGTTAAGCTACTCTTTTACAACAACAACTTGCATTTATACCACGCCCTTCACACGTGTGTTAAGGGTGAGTGACTTTGAGTGAATGAGCGTCAAGGTGACTGAAAGAATCTTAGATCAGCCGGCCATGTTGCCAGGTCAGGCAACTGTGCTGCTATCTATCCAGTTCTGGACCACAGAAACTAGTTTAACAGCAGGTCAACCAACAAATAACATCTAAATTATAAACTATTTTGTTTTTAAAGGTTTAGGTTGTAAATCACTGTAGATTCACTCAGCCCTCGACCCTTTCAACCCCAATAAAATAAGTGCTATGCCTAATGCCGCGTATTTTCCGTGGATGAGTGCACTGAGCACTATGCCTTCCTGCATGATCGGCTGGCTATGAGGTTTTACATCAGGGACAATCTGGTGGCCAACTGGAATCGTATGTGCTGTCGTCAGTGCTGCATACTTACACTGCAGTGTAATTGAGGCAAAAAACACTATGGAAGTCCATGATATTGCAGAGTCATTTGTAGTCAGAGCAGCTTTGGAATTTAAATGCCACATTACCTTTAGACCAAGCTTTGTAAATAAGAGTCAAGAGTATAATGGTCTTCAAGACTGGTATGTTTGCACATTCATTTTCTATGATCAATGTTTGAGACATTAGAATGTTCTCTTCAAAGGTTAGTGAAGTGTCAGTTAGCCTTTTCTCAAAGAGATCGTGAAAAATTAGTTGCATCTACATAAGAAACAACTTCACTAAAGCAAATGTGCACAGTGCAGGTCTACTCTCACAATGTTACGGTTTAGGCCACATTGTTTGGTTGTCAGTTTTGTGAGGCAAATTTAGTCTCCGCAGGTATACCTGGCCCTGGAGAAGACCAACAACCTCAGCACACACCAGGATTCGCACCAGCAAGCCAAAGGTCTACGCTGCACTATTTATTCACTACACCATCAGGGCCGTCCATATATACATTTCAACTCATCGCAGAGCAGAACTGTTATCAAAAAATGAAACAAGGGATACTTGACCTCCATTACATATAGGAAACAAAATGAAAATTATTTTATTCAGTAAAAAAAAAATCCAATTGTACTGAAGCGGTATTCTAACTTTGGGAAATCCAGGTCTCAGGAGTTTAAAAATACTGTACATCAGTATTACCTCAATTTTCTTCTCAAACAACATTACCAAGTTGATGGAGGGCTGCACAGCATTAAAAACTAGCTGAGATTAACGGTCGATTTTTGCTCAGTATTATTGCAAATAAACATTAGAAGCACAAATTAGAAAAAAATATTTTCTACATTAAGACCAGCTGAATTCAGGCTCATGTTAATCAGATGACTGGATGCGATGCAAAAGAGAATCCAATAAAGAATTTAGCTTCATGTCATACAAAGTGTTTTCTGATTCCAGTAAGCCAACCAACTCCCAGCTACAACTGGGACTCTTATTTGTGAGCGCACAGGGATGAAACAAGCACAAACATTACTACTGGGTCAAGAATTAACATAAAATTGGCAACCCGCACTCAAATTTTGAAATGCAGAAATCTCTCAGGATAGCACACTGCAGCAGGATATGTAAAGCCCTCAAAGTATTATACAGCAGCTTCAAGAATTAGGTGAAAATAGTGGTTAAGATCGGAAATAAATATCTAATAGAAATATTGTTGAGGACATTAATACTAAAATACAGTACATAAGTTGACTCTTGTACGTTGAACACTTGTGCTGCATGATTACAGACAGAAAATACCACTGTTTGCTGCATTTTTGCTCCAGCATTAAGCACTCAAATCTGTACACTGTCAGTAACTCTCACAAATCCAGTGAATACCCCATAAGTGGAAAAATTGTCCTTTTTTTGCTATTGTCCCATCAGATGATTTTACTGAAGATTACTGCTCCTTGAGGGAGCTAGCGGAACACAAGGCAATCATTTTGATCTTTAACATTAAATCCTCAAACAGAGTGGTCACATTATAAACCAGCCTTTAAGGTCATCTTCTATTACAGTCAGGATCAGTAAATAGCAAAATGTAATGTCAATAGATAATACTGGCTCAATGATAAAGATTAGGCACAAAAAGATGAGGCACAAATTCTCACTAATAAGTGACAAAATCAGATTTCCCTTTAAAGTTTCTACATATTATGAAACAAATACCCAGGCTATAATTTCTAAACTATCACCCTGGATTGCAGAATGAACACTCCTATTTTATAATGCTTTCTACCATTGGCTTCAGGCATTAATACGCATATCTCTAGACTAACTTCTGTAAACCTCGATACAATAAAATTACCACGGTAGCCCCACATTGCAGTGAACATCTGTGCACCACTCACATCGAAAGCCCTTTGTCTAAATCAGTTTTACTATATTCCAGATAGTACCTAAGGGCTGAAGAGCAATTCACCAGATAACATCAGTAAGCTAACAGAGAGCATTATTGTACGAGAAAAGACCTCAGAACTCATAAGCAGCCAAAGTAGTTAGATAGATCTTCACTACAAGTGCAATAAATCTCACTCTCACTAGTGAACATTGGGTCAAAACCACACATTTTCCTAATATATATTCAGCTTTTTTTTAAAAACACAAACACATATTTTAAAAAACACTGATTGCGATTTTAAGCAGATTTATTCTTGGCTGAATGAGATTTATTAACTGTAAGCATCACGGAGAAGGGCTGGTGCAAAATGTTTATTCCCCTAATTCTCTTATCTAATTTTAACTGTAAAATGACATCTCATGTATGATTTCAATCATGTGGCATAATGTTAAGAACTTGCAATAGTAATGGTCTGAGTGACTGAACTAACTATAAGCAGTTCTTATTCATTTTATGTTCATACACTATCTAAGGAGGTTAACTGTTAATTCCCTGATGTTAATGTAATATAAATATAAAATGGGTATCTGATTTCCATGTATCATGACTGAAAATGTTATCACAGGCCCTACCTGTAATACACTGGAGGAGATCATCACAATTGTTCTTCTCATCTGAGGACTATCACAGTGGACGTTAGCAGCTAATCACAGGCTCCACAACTAAGGCAAATTAAGCATTCACAGAAAAACCCTAGTGACCATTCATTCTATAAAATAGTCATGTTGAAGGGAGTTACGTTTCTGTATGTAACACAATGTTGGGAGTTCAGATGAGATTCAGTTTCTTCATTCTAATACTTTAGGTGCCACCTGAAACCTCTCCACCAATTTACACACCAACCCACCTGTTCTTGATAAATACTTTTAACTGGTCAGTGACTGACAAGTGGGAGCAGGTGAGAGAGCCTGTCTGTCACCAGCGCACAACCAACCTGCTTCTTTATAGGAGCAAATTGGTGTGGTACATTGTTATAATAAGAATCCTTGCATTTGACAGAGCACTTTTCACGTCTTTTCGATGTCTCAAAGCGCTTCACAGAATAGACTGTAAAGTGAAAAGACCGTATATTTGTGGGCAAAACGCGGCAGCCAATTGCGCACAGCAGTGTCTCACAAACAGTCATGGATTGAAAATGACCAATTTATTATTGTTTTGTTATGTTATCAAGCACTCCTCTGAGCCAGCCGTGCGTGTTTAACGTTGGGTTAGTTGCAAGACAACATTTCTACTAGAGCGATTTACATTCCACACATAGTTTACATGTATGAAAATCCTGTCTGAATTGCATCGACAAGTGTTGCGAACACGTGTAGTCATGGGCATAGCCGCATCGCTGTGGAACTGCAGGAGAAACACCACTTAAATAGATGAGATATAAAGTGTTACCAGTCATTAGACAACTTTCGTTAGGTTGCAAAAGGCCTCGGATTCTGTTAAGACCTTAAAAAATGCCTTCAAATAGGAGCAAGAGTTACCAGGATCAGTTGAACTTTTAAGTATATATATATATATATATTGCAAACTTTAAACCCACATTCCCTTTTCAGTCAGCTCCCTATTGGATATCAGGAAATTCTTTATAAATCTCATTGATGATGAGCTTGTCCATCTTGCAGGACTGATCATCCTCCTCCTCTGCCAGGATTCGCTGGAATGTGGCCTGCAGGTCAGGGAGGCGATGTTGGTGACACATGTAATCTGTTGAGCGCACGATTGCATGCATCAGTGAGAGGTACTCCATTCTAATCTGTAGAAACAGAAAAATAACGTTCACCGTTGTGGAATAATATTAATTCTGGGTGAAAGTTCGCTTCCACTTGATTGTCACTGTCATACGCGATTAATTATCAAACACTCCAGCTCATCAGACTGTAAAATAACTGAAGACGGCACCATAGTATTAAGCTTTTTCAGTGCTTACCTGTTGTGCAAACAATATGTAGTTTATAATATATAGCGGCTAACAAGAACCACTGACACCAGTCTATTGCAGTCACCTTTGGGATTGGCTATAGCTGGTCCAGACGCTGCTATTATGACCTTCCAATAACAAGCTCAACAATATAGGAATGGTTCGGATTTCAAGTGAAATAATAGCCTTTCTATAAACAGTTGGAGATAGCCATGAAGTGCACATTTACAAGGTTTTAACCTTAACGTGGTGCTGTTTTCTATTCAATTTTAACAGTTCATTTAAACTGCTAATGTGCAAGCAACACAATAGGAAAAGAAAATGAAGGCACTTTAGGTTGGCTGCAGGAATATCACTGCCAATTTAATAAAAGGGAAAAAAGAGCCTAATTGATAATGCTAAGTGCCCTAACAATTTGACTTCACCAGCGAGAAAGATTTATAGGTCTCACTCAGTAAAAATCAATATGACGCTTACCACTTTTCATTATAATCAATACAATTCTGGGTAAAATGTATTTTTTTGATGTGCTGACTATGGTCATTAAGCCAGGCATGGAGCCTGCCTGTTTTCAAATCAAAGGTAAAATATTTCATATCCTAAACGATCTAACACTGAGGAACCATTCTGCAATATGGAGCTCGTTAGATTCTGTCCTTTCATTTGAAATCAGTTCTGAGTCTCCATTTCCAGTGTGGGTGGCGCTTACTCAATTGGAAGTTCTATCAGTCAAACGCCAATCTTCTTATCGCCGCAATGTTTATTTTGCGGTTCTGTTTCTGGGTATTTAAGTTTAGGCTTGGGCAGATTCTAGTGTGGTTCATTCACACAGGGGTATTTAATCATGGTCTGAATAAGTGTTATGTTCAGATCTGCTTGTAGAGTGCATCACCTTTGACAGAGTGCATTGAGAATACATGATTGCTACTCATTCATATTAAAGGCTGACTTTACAAGAAATTGGTGATTATTGGTTACTGATGCTGATGATCACAAAAATCGCTGAGAGAAAAGCTGCTAGCATCAAGCTCAGATTTGTCTGCAATAATAATAATAATCCTTGCATTTGATATAGCGCTTTTCACGTCTTCTCGACGTCACAAAGCGCTTCACAGAATAGGCTGTAAAGTGAATTGATTGTATATTTGTGGGTGAAATGCGGCAGCGAACAGCCGTGGATTGAAATGACCATTTTATTATTGTTTTTTTGAGGGATTATTATCAGGAGTGTGGAGTAAGGAAACTTGCCTAAGGTTTCGCCCTGCCAGGAATCGAACCCAGGTCTCTCGCTTGCAAAGCGAGCGCTCTAACCGTTGAGCTACAGAACTCCACAATAATTGATGATATGGAACTGCTGCATGTATAATCTTTGCAAAACTAAACATTTAGTTAGAATTTGTGGATTTTAAACTGATTTAGTAAAACCCAGTTATAGAGTGAACAAGAGCCTTCTTCATCCAAACCAATCTGCTGATCTTTTGAATGGTCGGAAAACTTGTGCAAATCTAACAACATCATCTCACTGCAAACGTGATGACTTTCCTGTAGCTATGAACAGAGTAGGAGTTTAGCACTGAAAACCGTTAATTATTACAATGGGGAAAATACATAGGATTGACAAGCATATGGATCTTATTTTGATCAGTCTAAATGAATGACCAGTAATTAGTAATGATGATTGAAGGCAAAGTCCTCCCTAGACAAATATTTGTGGTGGACAGAAACATGCACCATTAGTTATTCATTGTTAGAACGTTTTTCAGTATTTAACACGATTAAAATTATAACCCATCGTCTTTTGAAAAGAGCTTTAATAGCAATGATATTCGAGAGAATGAACGTTGCAGAGTGCCAATCGAGCTGTGTGGGCTGTGAGTGCATGTCATCTTTGGTTTCATCAACTCAGGTCCTGCAATTATGAAGTGAAATGCACAGGCACCGTGACCTGATTTCAGTCAGCAATGTTCAGGTTAAACAACAGTAAAATAATCAGATGTAAACCTCTATAAAAAGACTTGACCCCCACCCCCCCCACAAGATCAATTGGACAATATTTACTAAAGACTCATCAGCACCTAAACTAGCAGCAGCCTGACACCGGGAGACTGTTCCAATCAATCACCAATACAATACTCTAGAATTTCACTACGCAATCAGTTTCATGTGTTCCTGTCGTTGACCTCACAATTTTCCTCGCCCTCTGTGCCAGCCTCCAGTTTCCCCGATGGAGTTAAGGGGAATGCGAAAAATTAGGTCATGTGTTCACAATCACATTCAATAATATCACATACAGTGTCTCCACGTATTGCTCTGCAGATGAAACATGGGATGTCAGTACTTCACTGGATAAGCAATACCGTAAGATTTACATTGAATTTACAGATAACGTTGGAGCAAAGACAAAGCTATAAGATTCAAGATTTTAATAAAAAAGCTGTTATACGAGGCACACGTTTCTCCACATTCCATCATGTCATGGAATTATGGAACATTTCAGTGTTAGGGATACAAGGTGCAGTGTGCTGGTAATAAGCTACTACTCCAAAAATACATTTAAAACCTGATTAAGCATCAGAAAACACCCAAAAATGAGATTGGAGTGTCGTTATGATGTATTGTCGTGACCAGGAATTGGGAATTGACAGATATTTCGGCTTTAAGATTTACCCTCAAAGATTCATGTCTCCAAAGAGAAGACTTGCAGGTTTGGTAATCCGATTTCAATCGGCAGCTACTTCTTTTCACATTTCGTTCACGGAATCTGCTTTATTTAGGTAAAAAAAAATGATGGAGATCCTGTTCCTCAATTTCAGGTCTTCAGCGTGAGCAAAAGGCTGATTCACACTGTGTGCTTTCTACAGAACTGATGGGATCTCTATTGTTGTGAAAATATTCTTACCATTTCCTTTGAAAATTTTCTTTGAAAATATTCTGAGGGAGAAGGTATTAAATTCATTGGGTTTTTCATTCTTTTTAAGAATAAATCGCATCATTATAATAGCTTGCCAAGTTTCTAATTCTCTGTTGCAAAGGAAAACATTTTCTTGCCATTTCAATTTTATTAAGGCAGTTATTATTGCAACAACAACAAATTACATTTATATGGCACTTTTCACGTTGGATGTTATTAAGGCACTCCAAACCATTAGGATTGTAAATTGCAATCCTAATACTGTGAAGTGTCTGGATACAGCAAACATCATAGATTATTTAGCTCCATCTTTTTCTTCCTCAACTCCTTCTTCCCTGACATTATTTGCACAGTTGGCTGCCGTGTTTCGACCACAAAATATACAGTCAATCAACTTTATAGTGTATTCTGTGGGGCGCTTTGAGACTTCTGAACAATGTGATAGGGTGCTATATCAAATGCAAGTTATTATTATGAAGTTGAAAAAGTACTTCATACTAAGAACATTCTTTATCTCGATGAGCAAAAATATCTCACAAACTCCAAATATTCCTTCATCCAGATGCCACTAATTGCTTGTTTTGTGATGCAATATTACAAGGTCATCTAATTCTGATACTTTTGTCAATTGAACTACTACCTACACGAGCACCAAGGCTCCAGAACATAGCTTTTACCACAGATTGATATGCCAGCTATGGGCACAAATCGTACGGATAATCTTAATCTTGCATTTTTGGGATCAGGAATCTGTTTTGTAGGAAAGCCCGGTCTGCAGCAAATTAGGGAACGCGACTGAAAATGGTCTAATATTTTGTTCAAGCATTATGCAATCTATAACTCCTGCAATTTTACAATTCAACAGGATCACATATGAATACTGCACAGACATGAAGCACAGCGAGACAAGTCTCAATGAGTTAAAACCCTGAGATGTTTTTGTAATGTTTTAAGCTGCAGATTTTGCTGAACCCACAGCTTCCACTGCCAGAAATGCACAAACCGCTGATCCTGACCATAATTACAATGAAGGTCTATTGACGTATCAATTGATCATCTGAATCTAAAGGGTTCGGAATTCTTTTTGCATCCTAATTTTTGTACTTGCTGGACAGTAGGAGGACTATATAAAGCTAACTAAAACCAGAAATGCACAACAGATCAATCAGGATCTGAAAGAGAAAAATTGGTTTAATATTTCGGACAATGATCCTTCATCAGAAATGAACGGTGGAATGAGAGAGGCCCATACATAGGATAGAGAAGGGCAAGTCAAGAAAAAAGGCATTCGTAAGAAATTAGAAAATGATTACCTGCATAGGTAGCTTGATTATGAAATGTGGGAGAGAATGCAGGCTGTTACATGATCTGAAGCTTGTGGAGGGTACCGTCTAGGAGGCCGTCAAATAGAGAACATATAGATGAGTGTTTTGCGACTGGGGTGAGGTTGTGATGGAGGAGGATTAGGTTTGCAAGATGGAAGAAAGTGGATTTGATTACACCCTGGAATGGAAGGCTTAAGCGAAACTTGAGGGTGGAGCAAAATCCAAGGTTCCGCACAGGCTCCATGAGTTGGGAGTGATCAACTGGGGAGATTAATACAGGCATTGCTGGTAATGGCTAAGCAGGGCAGTCTCAGTTTTGTCATTGCTTAGTTAAGGCTCATTGAGGTCTTGATGTTTGATAGGCAATGGTCAGCACAGCTTTGGTCCTGTAGTTTTGGAAGGAGGCAGAAAGGTGGGAGTTGGGTGTCACCCACTTGCTTACGGAACTGGACCCCATGTCTGCAGACCATATGATTAACAGGGAGTATGTAGATGATGCAGAGGAGAGCACTGAGGACAGAGCCCTGGGGAATGCCACACATTCCCGTGTGAAAGAAACAGCAACATAAAACAAGTCCTCACCTTTTCTCCTGGGGAGAGATCAGAGATTTGACGCACAATAATGTCGATCATCACCATCATGTCGGTGCGATAGAAAATGTTGCCAGTGCTCTTGTCGGCAAACACATCCTGCAGGAACTTTAGTACGGAGTGTGGTGGCTGAGGTTGATGTTTGAAGATACAAACTGGGTCATCTGGGGGTGGTAGGAGGGTGGGAGGAGTAAACAAAGTTAAAAAGATTAATGTCAATTGAATGAATTGTATACATTAAATAAAAGGCAATGATTAGTACCAATTCTGCGTGGAATGTACAATTGCAAAGATGCTCTCACACAATACATCCATTTGTGGAGTCCTGTAGCTCAGTGGTTAGAGCACTCGCTTTGCAAGCGAGAGACCCGAGTTCAATTCCAGGCAGAGGGCGAAACCTCGGGCAAGTTTCCTTACTCCACACAGAGCCTAATAATAATCCCTCCAAAACAAAAACAATAATAAATTGGTCATTTTCAATCCATGACTGTTTGTGGGACGCTGCTGTGCGTAATTGGCTGCCGCGTTCGCCCACAAATATACAGTCAATTCACTTTACAGTATATTCTGTGAAGCGCTTTGGGACGTCCTCCCGACGTGAAAAGCGCTATATCAAATGCAAGGATTATTATTATTATTACATCAACATCCAGAAGGCTCGGGGAGCATATTTTGCATCTGACAGTCTGAAAGTATATTAAAATAAAGAGAGCTGCTATGTTGCAACTCCTTAGTTTAAACTCACCTGCTCGGTTTAGTAGCAGCAGTAATTTTTCAGTAATTACTTTTACATTTTCCCGTTTTGCCAGTGTTGTCATGACGATATTGTTGGATGGCACTGCAGAAGAGCAAATCATTTCATTATCACAGAGTTAGAGATCAAGAGAAAGCCTGATCATTTCATCCCAATCTCTTGATTTCATTTACAACAGGGTACAGGCCTTTAACAGTTCACTTCAGATTAACTCGAGTCCCAAATAAATTCGAACTATGAATGTAGAATTTGTCCAATTCTCAGTGAGTAAGTGCATGATTTGTACATACAGACAAGGACAGTCAGCACTGGATAACAATCGCACACGTTCTTGTGTATTCTGGTTTGGGGAATAGTATATTTAGAACAATTATTTATTTTGAAAAGGGAAACTCTTGCAAACTTTTAAATTTTAAATTGAGAGAAAGACTACGGACATTGTTGTCGATTAATTCCCCGGCCCACGTTTATTCCTTTCTTGTTTCCACCACCAGGGAGGGTAAGTGAACAAATCTAAAATCAAGGGATACACATGTTCTCAAAACCAGATATACTGGGTATGAACACATCTATGCGCTGTGTATGCTGCTTTGAGAATGTGTGGTGGAGACTGGATTAATCCATTTCACCTCAACACCATTCGGTTCACCCATCCCTAACTTGTGGGCTCAAGGACCTTCTTCATCCAAACCTCTTAACTAACTCCTGATTGATTGAAAACCATTTTTTGTTAAAAGAATGTTTTTCTTTAACAACTGAGTAATTTTTGGAACAATTTCTAAAAAATAAAAAGGCACTTAACAATTATTTAGGAAGGAACTGGCAGGAAAAAAATCTCTGTGAAGAAACAGTACACCGACAGCTGGTGTCAGTAACCGGAAATAGCTGTGCTAAACATGAGTTGCCTTTATTTTTAAAATGAAAGAGAAATAGTTCAGTTGACCTCTACAGGAGGTCCTGGCATATAGAAAAAAAATTGCATGAAAAAAAAGAAAGTGTCGATAGCTGGTAAACCTTGGCTCCTTGGTGTGAATGATGGGCCACAGTTTGCTGTATGTGATGGATGAATAAATAAAGCAAGCATAGAATTTACTTGTTTTATTGCAGATCTACTGAAAAAGATACCAAAGGGTTAAGTAGACAAGGATCTGATCAGTAGAGGTCTATTCAATATTTGGTGCAGTGAAGCTGGAACCAGAAAGATAACTGTAAAAACAGAAACAAAAATGCTGATCCCTGCTACATTTAATAAGAAATACCATATTAGGTTACAGGCTGAATAGAAGATAACGGAAATCAATGCTAACCAATTTATATTCCATATTTATGAAATACAACCTTTTATAACCCACACATTTTCAGGTAGCTACGGTTACCTCAGGGTTCCACACTGATCACAAAATTAAAATTATTTAATCACACTAGAAGCAAAAGACAGTAAATTTGGAACATTTGGGGAATTTACCAGCATTTTAAAAAAAATTCTGTCCCTGCAATATGCTGAATATTTCCCACCAGCACCTAATGTACTGCATTCTGGTCACGGCTTTTAGTCTTTATTGGAGCCATCAATAATTTTGTGATCCTGCAGCTGTATTCAGAAGCATGTCACGTGATGACTTGGGATTTGTTATTGCATTGATGTCGGCTGGATCCTGCCGGATACAGCATTCCAAACAGAAATAAAATGTTATCAATTGTTTTTTCAAAGGAAAGATTGGCGTGATTTCTTTGAATATCACACAAACACACACACTAGCGTAAAGCTGCCAATATTCAAGTGTGAGCAAGGTACTTCCATGTCTTTATGTCCCTCTCGGTAATGATTAACCCTCAAATTGAAAGTCCTCAAAATGTTAATGATGCAAATAAGCTGTCGCACACGGCAGTGCATTCTATATCCCAACAGCTCTCTGTGAAAAAAATCTCTGGTAAAGCGCTATAAAACATCTTGATAAGGTGATAAGACATTATATTAAATGCAAGCATTATTATTATTATTTTATTGTATATCAATATGAAATAATGTGCATTAGTATGTGTACTGTTCCATTTTTCGTCTATAAAATACACAGTCACTACATTTTATAGTAAATCCTGTGAAGCACTTTGAGAATGCCTCCTCTCCTGACAGGCGCTATATTAAATGCAAGGATTATTACCCCAATCATATACAAACCGTGTCTCCCAGAATATCTCAGTTACGTACCAAGTATGTGGAGGTTGAAGGAGAGCATCACGTTCACAAACAAATCTGGTAGCTGGTCAGTAGAATCTGACAACAGTCCATCTTCAACCACATCCAGAAGGAATTGCACAAATTCCGCGTTCAAGTGCTCTATGAACACAAACAAGAAATTAAACCTCCATCAGTCTTATTATACAAAGCAATTATAGGCAGGACTACACAGTTTATTGAAAGGGATAGCAACTCAGACTGGATAAGACACTCATGTTAAAACATTCAAACACAGTTAAATGCTAATTTATCTATTTACAACTGTCTGCTGCACTTTTAGAGTAGAAAAATTGTTTCTCAATGATTCAATCTCTTTAAAAACAATCATTTTGCTCTCTTGCATTAGTTTTTCTGAAATGTTCATGTTTACTTGAAATTCCATCTTTGTCAGAGTGAACAATTGGCAATTATTCTTTGTTGTAAAAGACAGCATTATGCCGACTGGACTTTCCATTCTGCAAAGATCATTTAAATTAATTAAAATCATAGATTTTATAGAACTGAGGAGAATAAGATAAAAACAAATGAACACAGCACATCGCTTGTCTGACTAAACACATGATAAATTGTTGTTCCAAGATCCACTGAGTACAGTAGTGCGATTCATTATTTATTCATTTATACTTGCTGAAAATAGAACAATTCTCATTATCTTCTGAAAACTAAGATGCATATCTGTGTTTCATAGTCTCAGTTGGGGACTAGATAAATCAACACAAATATATACTTTACTCTCAATAATCCTTACATAATGATTATTCTTACAAACAATTGTTATTGCACTCAAGATTATGTTGGGTTACTGTGCGCACTTTTGATTCCAAATGTAATATTTTTGCAGTCAGTCAAGAGTCTGATGGGTGTGAAAATTCATTGTCATGCTAGCATTTGCTGCCGCGGAAAACTTGTAGAAGTATTGGCTGGTTTCCCACTCATTGCTTGTCTAGCTAACACAATCCCAACTGAGAGATGTCACAAAGACGCGATAAGGCATTATATAAAATGCAAGCATTATTATTATTGTTGTTGGCTTGTAAAATCATTGGAAGCCACCAGAAAGAATCCAGCCTACATACCTACCCATCAAGTTCCATTAATGATCCTAATAGATCAAATGAAAGGTCCTTTGAAGTACAGAATAATAATAATAATAATCCTTGCATTTGATATAAGATGTGTTTAGGCAAGCTTTGGATGACCAAATCCACCACAAAGCTATCTTTCCCACTTCAATAAGCACATCACCATAGTGCCTGGTGAACCGCGCCTAGCTTTACCCACTCTCCTTTCCAGGGTCAAAATTTTATTGTGAACTGATGAAGACTAAGAATTAAGGCTCATCAGAATTTCATTTCGTGAAAGTCTAGTCTTCTCAGCTCAGTTTTGTTCTTTAACCAAAGATTGCTGGGGGTGGGAAAACCAAGCACTTATTGAATGAAGTGTGATTGGTGGTACTTGAATGATGTCAGGTATTTCCTACGAGTGCCAAAACAATTACCGAGCCAGCTGTAAATGCATTACAAAAAGGTGATATGGGACCGACTCAGTTTTAGCAACGCTTATGGTATCAGCCATTGACCTTCTTTGACTTTAATAAAATTATGATGGTAGTGGAAGTTATTAAAATGAGACGATTGATTAAAATTAATGAAAACATTTTAATCCAGTCTCTGTTTTGAAGATTATACTATAGTGTATTTTATTTTGAAAAATGTAAATAGTAGTTGGAGAGTTTTCTGCTCTTTGCTGTTTTGTACCTACCGTAATGATGATATGGCATTGGCTCCCCCATGGAAAATATCATTGTTAGGAGCAGTGCTGAGTAGCAAAGCTTCTGATGTTCTGAAGGAGGACAAAGAACAATTAACTGCTTGTTAATTAAGTTAAAACATCATGCGTTAAATCAGTTTTACTTGTCATTATCTGATACTAGTAAACAACAACAACAAACAACAAATTTACATTCATATAGCACCTTTCACGTCGGGAGGATCTCCCAAGGAGCTGAACAGTTCAGGTTTGAACCCGATCTGAGGGTGGGGGCTAATGAGGATGGGGGGGAGAAAAGATGATTAAAGACAGTTGCAGAGGAAGGTCTTGAGGCAGATTTTGAAGAGAGGCGAGGGAGGAGGGGGGAGGTTGTAGGGACTCCGGGATGGAGTTCCAGAGAGTAGGGGCAGAAAGGCTGAAAGACCCACTGCCAATGGTGGGCAGGAGCAGCGTGGACTTGATGTTGAAACCTGTTGAATTTTCAACTACAAGCTGCGTTTCTAAAATAGCTTGTGTTGAAGGAGACACTAGTAATTTACACTGCTGAAAATACCTCTTCATTACAAACACATAAGGCTGATGCCATCATAAAAGCCCTATGTATTGGCTGTGTGCCTTTGTGGACACTAGAAAATATATTCTAAATAACATTATACCCCTTGTTGTGGCTCAAATTCTCCAGTTCCAGACACTGAGGAAATTATATCGAGTTTTGTTTGCTAGATTTTTCCTCTTATTTAGAAATACGAGCACTGGACTATTTTGGAAACACAAGTCCCCCTTAGCACTATATTGAGCATAACTAGTTAGTGCCATGGCTGTTTGGTTGGTTAACTCAAAACTTTATTTTAAAAAGATTTTTTTTAGGAAGAAATGATACCTTTGGTGTCAGTTTGCATGTCACGTGCAAGTTCCATGGGCAGCACAGAGTTGACCAATGTGGAGATGACGGCTGCATCCAAATTGCACATTGCTCCGAAACACTTCAGTAACAATAACCGCAATGCAACACGGTGTTCCTGGGGCAAATAAGTGAAGGGATAAGTCATAGAATAAGTTGCACACTGACACTTATCGTATTGAGTCCTTTGAAGGAAATACAGTCCACTCTATTAATATAGCAGTGTCTGTTTTTAATATTTCAGCAAGCTGATTTGCCCAGTTTACTCCACTAGAGTAACAGCCTGACAAATACAGAGCCAAAATTCCATCTTTACCTTTGTAAAGTTAATGACAGGATTTGGAGGGTAAAATAATGCAACAGCATAATTAAAATATCAATGAAATTCCATAAATTCCTTTATTGAGGTGTACACATTTCCACGTTATTAACATAATAACCTTGAAAGGACCTCATTAATGGGTGAGAGTCATACCACCATTACTTTATTCTGTAACTTCCGTTGTTTTAGACTGATTTAAGCTCACTGTTGATTTCAGGTTGACAAATGTATGTGTAAATGATGTTACAGCCTACTGTAGAAGGGACGAACAAGGTGGATCGGAGAGCAAGTATGAAGGAGTAAATTTTGCTTTAAATGAAAACGTCCATTTTTCGGCCATAAATATCTCTCTTAGACAGAAAATAGTTCTGTGTGCAGTGAGGTACAGAATCTCTTATCAGATCTACCTGTTCAACCACACAATTGACCTCCCTCTCTCTCTCTCTCTCTCTCTCTCTTTTCTTGCTCAGGATCCAATCCACTCTCTACAGTGCTCCAAGACCCTATTCTGTGTAGGGTAAGTTGTTATTCCTCTCAATCTGTGTCCCAGCCTTGGGTTGCCCCCAGTCCTTGCATTTCCGACCTTGTAAAACTCCCGGAGTAAGCTGTCAAAGAGCCTCAGAAATGTTCACAACAAAATGCAGCCTGATGCTGAAACAGTTGAAAAAAAATCAATCTTCAAGCCATCCGCACAATATTGCACTGTCTGCAAGTGCCATAGGGCAATTAGCAACTCATTACTGTCTCTCGTATACCTCTGAACTATCCATAAGCATCAAACTAGACAACTGGGTACCTAACACAGAAATTCTCAAGAACAGAATCACATAGATGCCATGTCCATATTAGACCCATCATTTACTCTAAACGCTCAACAACAACTTGCATTTATATAGCACCCCTCAAGCAGGGTAGTGTCCCAAAGTGTCCTCAGAATTTACTTGCTCTTCCAAATTCCAACGGTTTCCGAAATAAAAATATTAAGCATCAGCATTGATGCACACTGAGGTCCTCAACAGTTAGAACTTGCATCCTTAAACAAATAATCATTTTCAATTAATTTATGCTATTTTTTTGAAAAAAAGAGAGAATCCTTCCTTCAGTACCTCCCCAGATAATAGATTAAAATCATATTGTACTAAAACATCAAAAGAGAGTCACAGATCCAAATGGTGCACAAACTAAGTGGTTCAGTAAATCAGTTACTTACTACACCATTCCTAGCCTGAACATTGCTATTATACCATCACAGATAGAGAAGGTCATTTTGCAATGCCATTACCAGATATAACCTAACAACGACAACCTGCATTTATAGGACACTTTTCACGTAGAAAATCATCCAAATGCAATTCACTGAAGTAATCAAACTAGACAATCAAAGTCCTCACGAGAATACTTGACCGAGCAAAGTAGAAGGTGGGGAATTAGGAGGGAAGGGAACGAGGTGCACTGAAAGAGGTAGCGTTTTAGAAGGCTCTTCGCAGTAAAGAAAGTGGGTGCGAGGTGAAACAATTTAGAATTTCAAAGCATGGGGCAAAGGGGCTGAAAGCTCACCCGCTGAATGGTGGGGAGGTGCAGGATACTAGAAAGAGACCTGATTTAGCAGCGCAGAACAAGTCAGTGGGATCATTCTGCAGGAGATCACAGAAGTCGGACAAGAAAGGGGAGGTGTTTAAAAGCAAGACACACGTAACTGTCATTTGTATCTACACTGGATTCCAATAGACCCTTATCTGGTTTTTAAAGATTAATGGTCTTTGACCGGAACAAATCATCCAGATGTAGCCTAGACCAGATCTATGCACGCAGACTACTTTTAAGGATATGATGTCCTCTTTCTTTTAAAAAAGAAAAGGATTCATGGAGATTTTGGTGTTTTGGTTACCATAAAAACAATTTTTGCAATTTATCATTTTAAACCTTCAAAGTATTGTGATCTTACAGAAAATATGTTGTTTGCATGAGCATTTTTTTGAGCTTGTCTAAATTTGCAGCTAAATATGTACTTCTAAATAGGTCCATGATTTAAACCATTTTTATGATGATCTGATCATGTTTCATGAGGCACTGGCTGCTCTTGGTATTTTTGCCAGTATTGATTAGCTCCCTCATTATTTTACAGCCAACTTTTTCAAGTAGTTTATTGAATAACGTCAGCTAAAGTTTCATGCCTAGATAAAAACAAATTTATTACCACAAATTATAATTTCCAACATATACGATAAAAAAATTAGTAAGAGAGGATACAGCTTTAGATTACTGCAAGTAATAATGTTGAGATTTAACCACTCAAAGCGGTCAGAAATCATCAAACAAAGATTTGAGTTCATAACCCGGAGCTCAGAAGTTAGCGAGTTACTAGTTTTCCTCGACTAAGACTAGTGAAGTCTGCTCTACAGGGCAAGGGCCAAATGCAAACATCATTTGAGACTGGGATTTAAAGTCAAGTCACTTAACTATTAATAGCTAGCAGGCACTGTAGCAATTTTTCAGCAAAATTAGATTGGATAATCCTAGATGCCTTTGTAAGGCTAGGTAACGCCTAAAATAAAGATCAATTTCAAAACCAACTCAATTTTGAAATGAAGCTGATGGCAGTTACAGTGCAAATGCAAATCCTGCTGCAGTAATAGTCTGCACACTGAACCTTCTGACCTTATGATCAAAGGGAGGATAGATACAGGAATGGTGGACGGGCAAAGTAAAAAGAGTCATTTATATTCAGTTTACTAAAAGCTTTCCTTCAAGTCTTCCCTGTATTTTACTGATTTCAAATCAGATCCATATTATATGGTTTCATTTTTGCGTTTAATGGAAAATCCGAAAGATGACAATAAATTAAGGAAATATTCCCTTATTCCAAATAGCATACAGCTGTACGTGTTCTTATGCTCCTTAAATGTTATACACTGTTTTTAACAGCTACCAAAAAGCCAGAGACTGTTTTTTTTAAATGATTGGGATATCTTGCTGAATACATTCATTCACTATCAAGAAGTCCATTCTCAGAATTCAATCTAATCATAACTGATGACTATAATTTCCTAGTCAGGACCAATTCCTTTCTGAAAGGATGATGAAATACAATCACAAGTAGTAGTATAAGTGTGTTACATGATCACATTACATAAGTTTTAATATTTTCAGACTAAGAGCTAGCCTTGACAAAAAAGGTGCATGCATTGAGATGGATAACTTCTATCCACTCCTTGACAAACAGGGAGGGTGCATGCAAAAATACCCTTCAGATTTCTGATGTCCAGCATAACAATTTTGGCTGATTTGAAGCCCAGATCGAAAAGCATACTGAAGTCATCGGGACTGCTCTGAGATTTCATACACCATCAGCTCTTTGACCAGCTCTAAGTAGCTGAAATTTTGCTGGAAGTCTGTAAACAGGATTTCAGTAATCCTCTCAGTCAGGAAAAGGGGGGTGAGGGAAAACAGTGGAGTAAAATAAAATTTCAGCTGCACTGCTTGGGAAGACAGACCATAGCTCTAGGACTTCCCTGCTAGGAAGACAACAGAACTCTACCAAGGTTATGGGAATATGTCATCTGAGTGTCTTGTCCAAGATAAGAAAATCTTGGAGAAGAGAACAATGGAAAAATAACTGCAAAAAAGCAAGCCTTATAAAATGAAAAGAACATATCTCATCAGTTACTCCAGAATTAATCAACTTCACTCCATTACAGTTGTATACTTACCATCTGATAATAAGCGACAAGTGAAAGAACTGGTTCAAAGTGATTTTTCTTGGCCATTTTCTTAGAAACCTCTGGGTCTGCATCAGTCTGATAAAATGAGAAACAAATGAGAAGTTGCTAAAATATGAAAGAAATTTCAAAATAACATTGTAGTACTTGTATTTGATATATATTACCTTAGCGCATTGTTGAAACATCTCAAAGTACCTTAAACGATTCACTGCAAAGTGTAGTGCTATTGTTTTTGTAGGTGGAACACAGCAGTCAATTTGCCCGCAGAAATGTACCACAAACAACCATGAAGTAAATGACCAATTTTACGTGGGAGATTGTTGGCCAGGACACTGAGAAAAACTCCTTTCTCCTTTCAAACAATGCCACGGGATCTTTAACGTCTCCATAAATAGAGAGATGGTACTTCAGTTTAACATCTCAGGCCGAAGGAATATTAATTTGCATAATTTTTCCTTTGAAAATACTGACAGTATTGACCCGGGGAAATTTATAGCAAAGGCCATTCGGCGAATTGCGTCTGTCATGGCTCTTTGAAAGAGCAATCATTCAGTCCCATTCACTGACTTTTCTCATATATCTTTTCAGATCTTAATCTCGTTCCCTCTTGAAAGCCGATACGGATTCTGCCTCAACCACTGCACCTGTTGCTAATTATCTTAAATTGATACTTCTAACTTGTGGAGGATGACAGGAATGTTTTCCTGCAGTTATTCTCCTACAAATACTCACATATTTCAAATAGCAGTACACTTTGCAGCAACATAACTTTTTATTCTTGTGACCGTCATTAATCCTTACTCACCAGAATGGCCAGCAGTTCTTCCAGATAACAGGAAATTACACTCTCATCCTCATGCAATGCCCAACTCCTTTGTTGTGCATCATTTTTGTGTCTTGCCAAATCAGCAAAGATTACATCAAGTCGCTGCTCATCCTGACATACCTGTCCCTTTGGTAATGCTGAACTGAGTTCCTAAGAGAAAACATAGAAGCTGTGTTAATTTTACAAGCTAAACATTAACCGATGGGATAATTTTTCACAATTAATGGCATCAATGATCCTATTTTTGTGATGTAGTGCTAAGACAGAAGGATGTCTCAATCAGGATGTATCCTTGCAACGCCTTTCTAAGTTTGCTACTAAATGTAAAGTACTTTTAGCTTTTAGTATCCAATCTTTTAAAAATCAGAGCTTCAACTACAAACAAAACTGTTTGTCTTCAAGAAAACGAATCAGAACAATTGATTTGCTTACCTTACTTTCCACCAGAGAAACCAGAATCTGTTCCATGATCTCAGCCGTGGTGGGGACTGAACTCTGAATGTGCCCTACCATAACACCGATTGCTACTCTCGAAAGTTCATAGCTGAGATTTGTATTCCTGCGCACTAGCTCGATCAATTCTGCACCGATCGTTTTTGGCACCGATATCACAGGTTTGATGGACTTCACCAAAGAGCTCGGAGATGTAGACACTGAAGAAGAAGACTGTTTCTCCTGATTTTTACCGTGGAGGCTTTCAGCATCCAAGTCCAGGAGGAGCGGTGATGGTAGCTGGCTCTTAGGATTGAGTGAAAATTCATTTGCGTTAGACAAAGATGCTGGGCTTATGTTAGAATGGGTGGGTATGCTGGTTGGATGCTTTGAGGCAGTGTATGTGCTTCGAGTTGGAAGAGGTGGAGGGGTTCCTGAAGGACTGGGGGTGGCTGTAGACTGATGCAGCTCAGAAGAGGTTGAGGATACAGTGTATACAGTGTCAAGAGAAGCTGTACTCACATAGGAAACAGCTGACACAGTCCTTGGAGGGATTTCTGCAGAAAGTGATTGAAGGAATGCATTAGGCAGATCATTTTAGCAAGAAATCAGTTGTATATCTATCAAGTAAAAGTACTTCGACAATATTTATTACGAATAGCACGGCGAGTGAAATTATCAATAAAACATAATATTGTTTCAAATGCTAGTCAATGAAAACCCTGGAAAAAACATTAAATCAACTCAGCATTTTAGTCCATGGACCTACACAAAAAAACTAAGCTATCTATCTATATACAGTGTGGCCCGGTTATAATTCTTTTCTTTATAATGCAAATTCAGTCAGCATGCAGGGAGTCAGACTTTCGACTGTGCATATTCACAATGCAATCATCACACAATAGCATGGGTTTGGATTTTACAGATCCAACCATCGCATTATAATGAGGCTCCACTGTAGATTTGATTAGCTGGGTATCTGACAGGTCGGGAAAACCTTTCTGTCTAAGTCTTGGTACCCAAGCCAGACTGAGGACCCCCCACGTATGTGTGCTACTTACACATTGAAATTTCCTTGTGGCTGGAATGGAATTTGCACTCTCTGCCTGGAGGATGCACCCTGCTTACCAAATTCCAGAGCGTATTAGGTACAGATTGAGTCAAGACTTAGGGATCCCAGAACATGCATTCAGGGTGCTGCTTGAGTTTAATGAGTAAAAGTGCATAGCTTGCCTTTGAGAGCAGTACTCCACAAGCCTAAGTAACCTAACCTGCTAGTGGTGGGAGAAAGTAAAATTCAGATCATCACATATCATCAAAGAATTAAAAATGGGAGAAATTGGTGGAAATTGAATTAATAACAGTATTAGATTTTAACCCATGAAAACTGACAGGATGAGAATCTCCTCGATTATGGGTCCCAAGTAATATCATTCATGATGGTCCAACGCACTTTTAATTACAGTAATTAGTGTTCCTTTCCACTTCAAAAGAAACTGGTACTCACTATCAACATCCTCTTTTGGCTTCAGTAATGATCCAGAGAGCAATTCCTTATGTTTTTCAAGTTCTGGAGGAGCAACAGGAGCAGCACGTCGAGGTTGAGGTGGTACCTGCAACATTAAGTGAACACATGATACATTATCCTGTCGTTAGTCGATTGCCTGATCGATCACTTTCAAATAATCCCTCGCAAAAAAAAATGGTCACTTAATCCACAACTGTTTGTGGGACACTGCTGTGCGCAATATTGTGTCGCATTTCACACACAAAATGCACAGTATATTCTGTGAAGCGCTTTTGAGACTTCTTGACGACGTGATAAGGTGCTGCATCAAATGCAAGGATTATTCTTCTTCTTATTGTATCTTCCTTTTTTTTACCCTTTACAGACAACACAGGCATGACTTTTTTTCTTAAAGTTCTGAAAACCAAGCTGTTACAACCTGAGCCAGTTTTTAAATACCGTATAATAATAGTAATGATACCAACTAGCACTTTTACAGGCCCTTGAGGTTAAAGTGACATTCACCTTGAGACTGCTTTTATCTCAAGTAGAAAATAACGAGCAGTTATACCAAAGTTCAAAAATAATTACTTTTATAATTATTGAAAGGAGAACATTGGATTTTTCCTGTACACCATTCATCTCTGGTACCTGATAGAAATTGTCTGAAGAAGTTGCATTTACCGGACTCGAGTTTTGGTCGTATGGAATCTTGCTCAGTCCATTTGGTTTGCGATCAGTTTCTTGCTGATGATCAGTGGAGGGCGTCAGGATCACCTTCTGTTGGCTTACAGTTGAACCTTTTCGGGCAACTGTGTCCTTTCGATGATGAATGAGTTTCCTTGATAGAGGAAGGAGTGGAGAAGGCAAATGTGACTTTTGATTGACAAGGAAAATGCATACTTGGCAACAAATGTATTTTAAGAAATACTTAATTGGTGCATTTTGTTAATTTAAATATAGGGAATATTTATAATTATTCGTGACTTACTGTAGAACCTCCCGCTGTTCTAGATTGTATTTGCCGCCATTTTCCATTGCTGCATTGTGAATGGCTTCAATAGCTCGGTCTATGGATTGAAGAACCAGGTCTTGCTGATTTGACTTTAAAAACAAAGAGAGACGTCAATCTGTGATGACTTTAGTCTAGGACAGATTTCAATCATTTCCTCATGTACATCATATTTTCATAATGTTTTTCCATCAATGAATGGAGCAATAATGAATTTAATTCCAAATATTAAAATACACACAGTAGCTCTCTAACAACAACTTGCTTTTATATAGTACCTTTCACGTAATATAACATCTCTGAGTGCTTCACAATGCGGGATTAGATGCTGAGCTCGGAGGAAGGAGGTGGTAATCATAGGCACAGTTGAAGAGGTTGATTTTACGTGGGATTTGAAGATAGAGAGGGAGTGAGGCGGAGGGATAGAGGCAGGGAGTTCCAGAGACAATAGGGCAAAGTTATACAAATGAAAAGAAATAAGACAGGTGGGAAAATTTCTTTAATAACTGTACTAGCTGTCAAATGCTGAATTCAAAGAACACTCAGATAAATGGCTTCACCGTGGTCAGGTCGTAATGAATTAAATCAATCTTCTTAGCAGTAGTTAAAGGTTGGACCTATTATATCCCTGAAATGTTTTTCTCTAATTATATTAAAAGCAATTACGAGCACATTTGCAAAGTAGGCCTCATTGAAACAAGGCTATCATGTTAGAAACATGGCGCCTGCTTTGGAAATCTAAGCATTTGAAAGTACTGATCTCATCTTTGCTAGTAAGTTTTACAGTCATTTTAACAGGATCAATTATTTCTTATATGAACTACAATAAATCCTTACTCTCTGGCCCCAAGAATACTAAAGTACAGCACTTTTAAAAAGTACATTAATATGTATCTACACAGTACCAATATATATTTTTGTTTTATTTGCAATTTAGAGCAAATCCTAAATATTCCAGCAGTATATATTTATTCTTTAACTGCAGCGTAACTGGCCAGAAACCTGGAAAGTATTAAGAAAATCCTAACTCAATAGGGTGATTCTGAATTATCTTTTTCATGCTTTTAATGGCATTTCGCCCTGCAACCACAAAATGCAAAATTTGCTAAGGCTAGCAAACAGTGCATTACAGCCCATTCAGTCTTAAACATTATACCTTACATTGTTCCCTCTCTTTAAAATGTGCTGTTCCAATAATGTCTTGAAAAAAAGCCTTGAAGAGTCCTTCAAATGACCTTGAAGAGGATTTTTGTCATTAGATGTGACAATACTTGGTCATCCTTGGGCTATCCTCCTTGGGAGGGAGTTAAGCAGGGTCTCTTTGGAGCTGAGAGGTCTCCAAGGTAATGAAATGTCGGAATCGAGTCATCCCTCTATGATGGTCTTGGTAGTTGTTTATTGAGCCATCCAGGTTTGCAGTACTCCAAGACACGGTTGATGACAAACCATCTAGGTTGGCTCATTGGCAGGGCGTGAAGGGACAGGGATTCTTTCAACTCAACTCCATTTAAGCCTGCAAGCCAAAGTCCTAATGGGTAAGATGGCCCCAGTTGGACCAGCAGTGAAAAGTTCCAATAATAGGCAAACAGGTTGCATCCTTCCAGAGAGTGAATGCACATTGAATTCCAGACAAAAAGGAAGATACAAAGGGAACAAGATAAGGGATAAACTATGCTTGGGTGGCATACATGGAGTCTGGGTGACTTGCACATACATTTTTGCTCCAGTCTGGCATAGATATGGATCTACCAGGTTCACACTGTATTCTGATGAATAATGCTCAGTTTCTGCTGTCAAATTAGCAGAAGTATACTGGGTGGGAAAACCTCTACCCAGGATGTGAATCCTGTCCCACATTATTGAATTCAGATAGGCGAATTTATGGATTAAATGGATCAGAGGCAACTTAAATCTAGATAGTCTCTTTTGGGAAGGTTTTGAATATTAGTGGGAATTCCAGCACCAGATGAGAATAAACAGATCTATTGTTGTCCTCCCAATGTTTCGTCAGCCTGCCATTTCTTCTCTTCTATACTGGTTCACTTCCCTCTTCTGGACCAGTACATTGCAGCAGGAAAGTAAGCATGTCTTATCTGTCTGTATCTTGGGTACACACCATAACCAGGATATATCCTCTTCAATGGAACCTGCCTTATTTTTGTGGCTCTCTGCAGTCCTATTACTTAAGAGATATTCAATTCCAGGAAAGGGTGCAAGTTGTTGTCATTGTTATGGCTATATTCCATCATTAACATTGTAAATTGCACTCTAAAGTTGTAGGGACAAAGCCACACATAAAATCTTACGACCAAAATAGAAGAGAGATACTGATGATAAATCACCAATGGGAACTCCAAAAGTGGAAACCAAAGCAAACTGTACACAACACAAAACAAAAATACTCCACAATGTACTCAAGGCTATAACAGACTGTCAGACACTATTTGTTCTTTAGTTTCCAGTATAAGGAACCAAAATGTAAATTCTTCTACTTTTACTTGCCTGGAGCACAGGCCTATTTCGTTCAATGCTGATTTACTTGCAAGAGCAGTATGTTTTTCTTGTCATAATTATGGTTCTCTGAAGGGCATGGTGCCATGTTTGCTTTTTTACAATAAAATGTAAATCATTGTTAAGTCAACAGGGATTCAGCATTTTGCATGAAAGAATGAAATACTGTACTTGGATAAAGTTTAGCTGAAAGCTGGTAGAGGTAGAGAAGCTGGAATGCTGACAGTTTTACACAACTACGAAATTACTTTGGGTAAGGGAATTGAAACGTTATTCAAACATACAAGACCTCATTGAAGTACAAAACTAAAAAAAACTTCACCTCCTGAGAGAACCTTGACTAAAACACAGATTTTAATAATAATCCTTGCATTCGGGAGAGTGCCTTAACACGTTGTTGAGATGGCGCAAAGCATTTTGCAGGATATACTGTAAATTGGATTGGCTGTGTATTTTGTGGACAATACCCAGCAGACAGTTGCGCACAGCAATGACCCACAAACAGCCAGAGTGTGGGGACTGTAGGCCAGGACACTGGGAGAAACTGCCTCCTCTTGTTGAATATCTCATTCAGAGAATGGCAACAACAATAAAAACAAGAATAACCCGCATTTATGGCGGAGGGATTGACGGAAAGAGTTCCAAAGTTTTGAGGGTAGCGACTGCAAGCATGGCTGCTGATGGTGGAGCGGAGAAGACGAGGGACAAGCAGGAGCCAGTGGTGGCAGAGGGTGATAGTAAGTAGAGGGAGTAAGCATGTCGGAAAGGTAGGAAGGTGCCAGGGCATGAGATTTGTGGACGTGTGTGAGGATCTTGATGTCGATCCATTTTGTGATAGGGGACAGTGGAGCCTCGCGAGGAGGACTGGTGTAATGGGGGTACAGAGGATGTTTTGAATTAGTTGGATTTTGTGGATAGTGGAGCGAGGGAGACCGGCAAAGAGGGGATTGGAATAGTTGAGGCAGGAAGTGATGAAAGCGTGGTCAAGGGTTTTGGGCATTGGCCACTTTCAGACCTGCCTTTTCATATACCTTCTTTGGCCTCCCAGTTCCGCCACAAACTCCAACTCATGCAAAACTCCACCCACACCTTTACTAGCACAACACGTTGCATGCTCTTCGCTCTATTCCTCATTAGGCTCCACTGGCTCTATCTTCCAGTGGTTCTAATCAAAGCCCCTAACCTTCACCTGCACCCTCGCTCCTCCCTACCTCTGTGATCGTCTCCGGTCTCACTATTCTGCTTGCACATCCTCAACACCATCCCACCCCCATCATGAGTAATCAGCCACTATGCTCCTACCATCTGGAACTCTTTTCCTCAGCCTCTGCATCTCAGCCGTTGCTTTCTGACACTGTCTCTGTAAATCGCTCCACAACACTGCGTGAAGGCCATTGTTTTAAATGTGTCGTTGAAGCAGTCTACTGGCTCTCAAGCATTAAATGCAGTGGGTAATAATGGTCATTCGCATGAGTGAAGGAAATTTTGTTGAATTGTGATTATTTTAGCTGAATAAGTTGTATGTTCAGTTTGATTTTCTTTAAGAGTCTAAGAAATGGAGAGATAACCTTATGGATGATGTCTGTTTCATTATGAATTATTTATTTGCTACTCTTTGCAGTCAGGAGACTGTGGGAATATTACTTGGTTGTTTAAATCCAGTGTGGCAGAAAACTCCTAATATATTTTTCTGTACTTAGTTTATTAACTGAGTCTTTCATACATTTTGCTTTTAATATTAATGTGAATAAGCTGACATTTTCCTTGCATTATCAATTGTGGAATTGGCATATATGGAAAACATCTTACACAATAAGGTGCCTCTGTTGCTCTGAGACAGAGCTGCAGTATCTACTTTGAATTAGTAGAACTTTTTAAAGAAAGAATGGGAATAGTAAACAAAAGTAAGCAAACCTCTTTAGGCTCCACAGGAAGAGAAGACTTAAACTCACAATCCAGGCTGTATTGAGAAGACTTAAACTCTCAATCCAGTGCTGTATTGTTGAAAATTACCTTTCAGACAAAACATTCAACTGATCATGATTCAGATGGTCATTAAAGATCCCACAGAACTGTTCTGATGACCAACAATTTTCCACTGTTCTGGAATATATTAGAGCCTCATCTAAATTCAACGAAAACAGAATCTTTGGTCATTCAGAATATGTCGGTTGTGGGTGCTGAACATGGATGTTTCCAGTAAGTTACTCAGTACCCAGAGAACTCTCTCCTGTTATCTCAAAGAGCTCAATTCAACTGGTGTATTGGATTTGAGACCAGAGGTTCTGGGATTGAATCTCTGAGGAGATCCACTCAGCTGTTCAGCCTTCTTGAAGGCCGATGAAATGAATTACCACGTCTAAAAATATCAGCTAGTCTAGCTCATCAACAAGATTTAGGAAGTGTAGTCACATTCCCAACAGTACTAAAGCTCTAATCATAGAGCAATCCAAGATGGGTAAGTACCATACTAAGTAGCTACTATTTTTTCCCTTCCCTCAAGTCAGGATAGCTAAACCTAAACATTATCTTCAAACATCAACTGTGGAACATGGCAACGCATTGCATTTCCCACCAAAATTGGCAGGTAATGGTGCAGGTAATTTAAACTAAATGCATTGAAATTGTAAACACAGGCTCATATAAACAGAACACTTTAAATCCATGCTGTTAGCCACAGCACATTTGCAGCCCATAATTGTGGTGGAATGCAACACCTGCAATTCTTCATCTTGGCATCATGTTGAATAGTGAAATTATTTAATTTAGCAGTCAATAGTTAACCTGGATTTCATTTCTGACTTATAAAGGCATGAATATACTACTTACAGCAACGCCAAACTTTTAGAAGCACCATTGAATGAGTGGATCACAAAAGAAAGACTTTACGAAGCATATGCCACTTAGGGTCGGTTCTCACAATATTGGCGTTAAAAGTGAACTTTTTCAAATGCTGTGCAGCTACAATTTCACTTCAAACTTACATTTTTTATTAGATCTAGAACAAAGAAAATTTAAACTCAGTTCATCAGCATAATCTGAACCCAGATATTATGACTATTCCTTGCATTTGCATTATGATATATACAATCACGTTTAGACAATATTCTGCCCAACAACTATTCATCGCAATGTTTTGTCGTTGTTCACATTTAATGATTTGCAGCATTTAAATTGAATCTTACAAAAATCTACGTGAAACATTCAATATTTAAAGCAAGTTACGATGAGAGATTTAACCTATAGCCATGGCAAGTAGCAAGGTTAGGAAACAAGATAATTCCAAGTCTCAGCATTGTCATAGTGTCCAGGGACACAAAAGATTAATTTAGGAATTTTAGCCCTGTAATATTTTTTGCCTAATATTGACAGATTTTATTTCTTCAATTAATCTCGAGTAGGTCAAATTTTCTATTTGACAAGGATTCTACTACAGAAAAAAAATTATATAAATTCATTATATAATTATATCTTATGCAGAAGAAATGTAATAACAATTGCAAGCGATATTTTTTCAAATGACCTCCTACAATATCACCGACTGTGAGATACATTTCCGAATACCAAATAAAAAGGCTTGTGTGCGTAGCTTAGGAATTTTTCACATCAAAAGCGATTCCTGCAACAAACTGGTAACACCTTTATTTTCTTTTGACCAACAGCAGCCTGTATACAATACAAAGTCACAATACAGTAAATTCCAGATAAGCACAGCCACATACCTGATCCAAGTATAATTCTGACCCAAGCACAGAATTCTAAATGCATCAAATTACTTCCCATTCCCCCCAATACATAGAATGCTTCTTCCAAATATAATTTTTAAATGCACCATTATGATCCAAGCATATTTCCTCTAATATTCCCGTTTTCAATGCTCAGCACATTGTATACTGTCAACCAATTACCAACTAAACATAACATCACATTAGTAATTAAATGATTAGCACATTAGCACCTTCCTGAAAGAGGATTTTTTTTGTTATTTTTCACAAAAGTGAAGTATATTGTGAAGTTCTGATAAATATTAAAATGTTTAATGAATGAAAAGCCTGTGGTAAGAAATACTACAAATGGTTCATGCAATCTATAGAAATTTTGATACAGTAACTTTTTGGCAAACTAGTGTTTAAGACTAACTACTTAGATATTACAAAACAGTGAACATATTTTGCAATCAACTAAAGTTGCTTATCTAAGCAAGCGGTGTCAAAACAGATACAATGGACCCATTTACTACCAAATCCAATATACAAGCCAAAGAAATAGTTCCAGTAGAAAACAAAATGCAACAAGATCATCCAAGAACAAATTGTTATTGTTTCACAACTGGTAAAAAGTGAAATAAGATGTACGAGTTACAAAATGGAATAAGTGATTAAAATGCTTCTTTGGAAGATGTATTTCAATAATACCAAATATGTGCTAATACCAAATGCATGTGGTGAAACAATGGTGAAACTCAATTCCATTCCAATTGTAAACAAAGGAGGGCACTCACACATCTGATGGCCTAATACAACAATAATTGACTGAATTGTTGTACAGGCGAGCAAGAAATCAACATTTTAACCATCTGTACACAGCAATTGAAGTCATGTAGTGAGAGCACCCTCGCTTATCCAATTATGCCAATGAATAAAGTGTTTATATTAGAGCTTGGAGTATGCATACATTAAAGGAGTTGTGTTTCCAAGATAAATGTACCGTTTCTAGAGCTGGCATTCTTTTTTTTTTAATTCCCCTGATCCAGAAATAGACCCATTTAATAGAAAAATAATTTCTTAAGATTTATAAATAAATCACTCTTCTGTCCACACCAGATAGTTATCTCAAAAGTGAAGAGCACATAGAGCTCAAACAATTCCCTCTGTTATCTTTCTCCCCCACCACCTGGTTTTGCATTTCCTGTAGAGCATCTTCGCTGCATTAGAACAAACGTGCCTAAAACAGCAGCAAGCCTGCAGCCTGTAAGTTACGTTAGAATTAAAACGACTATACAAGAAATAAACCCCAACAGGCTACCCACAGGCACTAGTGAAAAGTGTGGGTGGGGTAGGGGAGAATTATTCAGGAATTAACAGCTCCTTTAATTCTGCAGCTTGAATTCTGCTTTGCAAAGGAGATTAAAATTAGAAACAAAAACGTTTATGAAAGAAAAAAATAAGTATAAATGAGCGTAACATAGGGCTGTATTGTATTACATGGTAAACAGATTATGCTACTGAAAGCTAGGATAGTAAATGGACTTCACTGTACTAGTAACAACAAAATCACAGATCTAGTTCTAAAGAGCAATGTAACCCTTGCATGGGGGTGTTTTGGTTCTGATATGATGCTTTTGAGATACTGGACCTGTTCTGCATTATTAAAAAAAACAAAGTAACAGATGGGACAGTTTTCATACTGATCTATACATGTAAGACAACTTGGTCATTCTGAAAATTGAAGCCTTCATCAAAAGGTTTATATTAAAAAAATAAATGTTACCGATACAAATGACAAATGAAAACTCAGATAAAACCCCAAATCGGACCTTTCTGCATTGCATACAGAAAGCTGGGATCTGTAACTCCCTGAAATAATACACAGCCCAACCCCTTCAAAAAAAAATAGCTTTACATATCTCTTAAAATCACATTTACTGTTATTATTTTAAAATATCTCTCAAATGGAATAATCAATATGCCCTTCAAATTGCACAATTTTGGAAAGGTTCACAGCATATCGTATCACTTTTTCACCATGGGATCTAAAAATTAATTTTAAACCCCGACATACTCCCAGAGCATTTTTTAAAATACACATTTGATTGAACATTGACTTTTCAGAGCAGACAGATTTAGGATACAATTTCAGAGGCTGCTTCTTCCTATCTAACCAGTACCTATGTCTTACATCCGTTCCAGAAACCATAGCAGCCGATCTAGAATGTTATTACTCTAAATCTTTAATACAGAATTACATCCAATCAGTTGACAGGAGAAACTTTTTCTTTAAAGTCTAAGAAAGGTAAAGTGAATATCAAGGGTTTTTTTGGTTAAAAAGGTACCAATGTTGCTAGTCATGGATAACCCACCTGTACTTAAACTAATATATAAAAGTCCTGTTTTGCTAGTTCTTCATTGTATGGTAGACATGCTATGGTGTGGAAGCAAGTGGTGTTGGATTCTCAATCAGCAATAAAGGAACAGTATACAGAATACTGGTAGATGCCTTTTATTTTAGGCAGTGTAATGTAATGTAAGGCTAATGTAATGTAAGGCAATGTACATTTTTTTGTAATACAATTACAAACAACGTAGCACCAGAGAATAATCACGAGTTAAAGAAATTAGATTTCCTCCCTCTTTTGTCATGCATGTCCGGAGACACCAGCAGTCAGCGGCAACCATTTTCACTCAGAATCGGACAAAGGATCCAGATCGGATTCCGTTGAGTCAGATTCTGTTTTGGATTCTTCCCCTCTTCTCCATTCTTTGAGGAGAAGCCTCCACTGTTCAGCTTGCAGCCAAGCAGCATACGCTGCATCTAAGTAATCCTGCGCCTCTTCAGGCTTCTCCAAACATAGCCTCAATAATTGGTCAAGCTGGTCAGAAGTAAGCCGATTCCTATAAACAAAGATAAAAATAGAAAATGGAAAAACATGAGTTGCTAATAAATCAGATTAGAATCAATAGGTGGTTGATTTTCAACTTAAGAATATACCTGTATTTGTTTTTTATCAAGTTCACAGAGGAAAATCCCCTCTCGGGTTCAATAGTCGATGCAGACATCACCACACAAACCTCTGATAGTATTGAGAAGTTTGGATATTCTTTTCTCCACATATCAGAGTGTGCCAGATCAATGCAAACCTGGAGAGGGGAGGAGGGGAAAGAAAAAGGAAATTCACTAAGATGGCTTTTTTTCCTCCAAAAATACAAGTAAACCTTGCAATCAGGTTTAGAGAAGTTCCATACTAATCACTGATCCAAAATCCAAAGCACACCTTGATACTTGAGGTATGAAATATTCATAAAGGTGCACGTTGTAAACCAGATTTTACAGAATGGGAAGTAACAGAATAAAGTAACAGAACAGAAATATAGAACTTTACGTTCTATGTATGCATTCTTCTTTTCAATATTCGGCATGATATACAGAATACTAATTTTTCACATACATTTGGGTGTATTTTTAAGCAAAGGAGACTCAATAATAGAGAGAACCTACTAAACTTTTAAAATGTCTTAATGTTAATCTATTTTTGAAGCGCAGCTTACTTCATCCAAACTCTCTCCTTTTCTGGTTGCAATTAGGTATTTCATTTGGTCCCATTCAGCAACTAGATCCTTCCCATTGTTGGAAAGAAGGTCTGAAAAATGATTCTGCAGTGCTGCGGCCTCGTTGTTCCCATACTGAGCAAGTTTCTCAGGGTCAGAAGGAATCCTATCAGGATCCAGAATCCGAAAAGCTCTGATGATCACATTATCAGGAAATCGCTCCTTCAGGCTATCAACAATAATTCTCACCTGAAAAAAGAACCATAAATGTAAGACTTGAAACAAATGTTTAATTTTTTGCCTATGATTACTTAACAAAACATGTTCTGCTTTCTCTGGCACTTTTAATTACTGAACACAAATCCCAGTGAGTGAATTTGTTTTCTATCTCTTTTATATTAACACAATACACGACTCCCTCCTGTATAGTTTTTCATCCTCACAATGAATGCATGGATTGTTGTATTCTAATACTAGTTTACTTTGCCTCACTGAAGACAGTGTAAGTGACCCTACACAAGTGAGCAAATTGGAGACGAGAGGGCAGACTGAGAAAAAAAAAATCAGATGTCTCCTGCTTGCTGAGCAAAATATTGAATACAGAATTTGTTTTACAGGCTGCCAAAAACTTTCCAATAACCATTCAATATTAAGTCTGGACTTGGGTATAACAAGCACCATTTCCAAGTTTGCGGACGACACAAAGTTAGATAGGGTGGTAACCAGTGAGAAGGATAGGAGCCAACTGCAGGAAGACATAGACGGAATGGTAAAATGGGCAGACACACGGCAGATGAGTTTCAATGTAGAGAAATGCGAAGTAATGCATTTCGGTAGAAAGAATGAGGGGAGGCAATATAGGCTGGTAATACAATCTTAAGGGGGGGAAAAGAACAGAGAGTCCTGGGGGTGCAGGTAAATGAATTCTTGAAGGTGGCAGGACAGGTAGATAAGGCTGTAAAAATGGTAAATGGGATTCTAGGCTTTATAAATAGGGGCGTAGAGTACAAGAGTCAGGAGGTGATGATTAACCTATATAAAACACTGGTTAGGTCTCAGTTAGAATACTGTGCCCAGTTCTGGGCACCACACTATAGGAAGGATGTTAAGGCATTGGAAAGGGTGCAGAGGAGATTTACGACGATGGTACCAGGAACGAGGGACCTTGATTATGAGGAAAGGCTGGAGAGGTTAGGATTATTCTCATTGGAGCAGAGAAGGTTACGAGGAGACCTAATAGAGGTCTTCAAAATCATGAGGGGATTTGATAGGTTGGAAGGGGAAAAAACTGTTTCCACTGGTGGGTGTGTCGGTGACTCGAGGTCAGATTCAAAATAGTCTCTAAAAGAAGCAGAGAGGTGAGAATTTTTTTTTTCATGCAGCGAGTTGTTCAAATCTGGAACGCATTGCCTGAAAGGGTGGTCCAGGCCGATTCAATAACTACTTTTAAAAACGCGGTGGATGGGTTTTTGAGGAGGACGGGTTTGTAGGGTTATGGGGAAAGGGCCGGGAGTGGGATTGACATTAATTGCTCTATTCAAAGAGCCAGCACAGACTCGATGGGCCAAATGGCCTCTTTTTGTGCTGTACAACTCTATGATTCTATGAAGTCAGCCTGTCAATGTCAATTAATTGTCAACCCTCTCACCTTGGAGTCAGAAGGTTGTGGGTTCAAGCCTCACATTAGGACTTTGAGCTCATAGTTTGACATAGGCTGATACTCCAATGCAGTGCTGTAGCAGCACTGCATTGTCAGAGGTGCCGTGCTTCAGATGAGACGATAAACCAAGATCCCATCTGCCTGTTCAGGTGGATGATGAATCTCATGGCACACTTTGAAAAGAGAAAGGAATTTCTTCTGGTGTTTTGGCCAACAATCCCCTCAAATAAAATTGGTCATTCTTTTCATGGCTATGTGATATTGCTGTGAGCAAATTGGCATTAGTCTACAAATATATAATCAATGCACTTTACAATACACCCTGTGAAGCATTTTCAGACATCTCAACAGCATAATAATGTGCTCTATCAAATGCAAGGATTACTATCAAGTGGACACCGAATTTCCAATAAGGTTCTATGACGTCTGACACTGAAAAGTTATTTAATGAGATGTTAAGGCATTCATCACTGTTTTAAATAATAATCTTTCCATTGGATATAGAGCCTCATCACGTTGTTGAGATGTCTCAATCACTTCAACAGAATATATGTCACATTTCAGGGAGGACATTATAGATTTTCAAGAAGTTTAATGTGTTAGAGAAAGCAAACCTGGAATGGTCCTTTTGGATATGCCAAGGAGAAGGTTTAAGGTTATCAAGGATAATTTCTGGGCAGATGAAAAAGCATTTCTTCATGAAGAGGGTTATCACACTTCTGCATAAAGAGAGTAATCAATAGCTATGAGAACACAGGACTCATTTAAGAAATTAGCTGAATGCTGTAATGGGAAGATGGCATAGTTGGTATTCTAGGCGATATAAAATTAGTTTTATGGCTTTTCACCCAAACCTCTGGTGTAATTAAAAAAAATTTAAATGGGTTCCTTGCAGAACATTAGATGAGAGGGTCAACTCCAATCATCGATGAAATGGAGGGGTGTACAGCCAATTCTTTTAGGACACAGAAGAGGAACCCTACTTCATAAAGCCTGAAATTTTGATGTTGGCAATGTTTAGCTAGTATTTGTTGAAATATACTGTGACTTGCCGGTCATACACAACTCTGAACTATGCACAATTCCAATCTTTCTAAAGGTCAGATTTAATGCTAAGACTCAATGAGGTTGGAAATCATATCCTTGCTAGTAAAATATTGTTCTGCCGGATGATGTAGAACAGCCATTTATTAGGAATGTTATTCAAAGCTAGAACTGATCTTAAAAACAGTTTGCCCTGACCTCATTTATAATAGGAAATGTGAATGCAACACCAAGACCAAGCAAGAAACATTCAAATAAACCAACGCAGCTCATGTAAGAGCCAGATTTAATTATTTTGATCTGAAGTCAGGAAAAATATGACAATTGAATACTAAACCAGAATGTAATAATACAATATATAATATTATTATACCAGGATGTAGAGCAAGGAGACACAAATCTTATTGGATGACCAGCAAAGCACTAAAATGAAGGTTAAATTCATGTCTTGGATTAGTATTGATTATTTTTAATGTCTTGCTGACATCATAGCCTTTAAAAACATCTACTAACCAGAGCTTTAACAGGGGCTGCTATCTCATCAGTGGCTTTTGCTGCTGTTTTATGAAGTATGGGTCCATGTGGTTTTCTTGAAGTAGGGGGTCTAGAAAGAGCACCACTTTCAAGCATCTGTATTCCAAGGAGAAAGCTGCTCTCCCATAATATATTATTTCCAAGATATTTGCATTCAAGGAGGTTGATTGTTGCTTGGACCCTTTCAGGAACTCTGACCGGGTTTACAAATTTTTCGTGAAAAAATAGTGATAGGTTATCCAAGTGGTGGAGAAGATCTCTCAAGAAAAAGATGGCAAGTAGAATGCTGCAAAGGTACAAAATAAAAAAAATGAATACACCATAAACATATAGAACTTCTCTAATATTGTTAACTAAAATTCACAGCTAATTCAGTCTAAAAATTCAGACTAAAATTCTTGGAAATCAAGAAGCAAATACTGCCAATGTTTACTTGAGCATCAAGTGATCCAAAATTGCTCAAACAAATAAACCTATCTATGGTGCTAGATGTTTAAAACTTGAGCTCTGAAAATTACAGGTCATGAAATGAGCTTGAATAAAAAATTTAAATACAGTACCGAGGTTGCTGAAGTTTAAGTAGGATGCTTTCTGCTGTGATGTCATGGTCTACATTACTCATATCAGAAAAATAGATTATTAAAGTTTGATAAGATTTGCAAATTGCTTGGACTGCTCTCCCTCGGTTTATCCACTTGAGATTGCGGGCCTTTGCCAGTTTGATGGTGCTTAACTCCAGGACATTGAAGACCTCTTCCAAACCACTATGCTTAACAGTGGATCTTAAAAAAAACAGGAGAAAGAAATTGTCAATTTACAATAAATTGCAATTCTGTGTAGCAGGGAAGGGACTGAGTGGTGCAGCAGGTTAGAACACTTTCAGCTCTGGCTCTTAAGGCTAAAATCCTGCTCCAAGCGGGGATAAAAATCTCTAATCTCAGACAGCAGATAACTGATCCAAGTAAAATGAACCTGGAATGTCTTAGTCCATCTCACTTGACTAAAGTTCACAGAACAAAATAGCTGAATATATTAGGGCTATTCTGAAGCAGGTGCACTCAGAGATCATAGGAAAAAATTAAAAACTGCAGTATTGGAATGCACATATGAGGCTTTGTAATTGCTCCAGGTGAGCTAATATAGGTGGTGTCTGACAGAAGGCTTGACTGTTTTGTTTGGTCAGCCAGGTGTTTGACATGAAGAAATCCATCACCATGCTTAAGCGAGTTCCACATTTGTATGCCATGTACACATGGAATTTTGCCTGCGTCTGGAATGTAATGCCCACTCTCTCCCTGGAGGGACTCACCCTACTTACTTAATGTTAGAGTATTAGGTGCAGGATGGCAATAATCAAAGCTTGGTGACCCATGTGTGCCCAATGAGGCAATGCTGGCATTTCACCAGGTAAAACCTTAGCTTGCCATTGAGAGAGCTACCCTCTCGACTCTCTTCCCTCTCCTCGCTCCCTCCCTTCCCTCCCCTCACCCTGACCATTTTCCCCCCTCCTCGCTCCCTCCCTTCCCTCACCCTGACCATTTCCCCCTGCTCGGGTCCTGACCCAACTGTGCAGCGCCTTGGGACGTCCTCCTGACGTGAAAGGCGCTCTATAAATGGAATCTTGTTGTTGTTGTTGTTTTCACTGCTTGTCCAGTTGGTACACCTTATCAATTAGGCCCTTGGCTTGCAGAGTTAACAGGAGCTGAGTGGGAAGAAACCTGGCTCCCAATGACTGGTCTGGCCTCCAAGTCCTACCAATGAGCCAAGCTGGCTGGTTGGTCATCAGCAGTACTCTGGAGGTGTGTGGCCCACTTGGCTCAGGTACCAGACAACTGAGACCACCATAGAAGATTGACTCCATTCCAATGAACTCCAAGGAGATCCCACTTATCTCCCATCCAAGGAGGAGAGACACCAGATGGTTATTTGAAATCGAACAAGCGCAGGTTTGAGCCCTCGCTAGATGGACAGAAGGTACCAGGAAATTCCTGTGAGCTTCCAGTTGAGCAGCACAGCTCTGCATGAAATACAAGAGCATTTCCACCATCCTCCTGCTCACAGCATGGACACATATCTCTACCCACTGAGTGATAGTTCCAACAGGTGGAGCTGCAGCTGCTTATCTCCCTGCATACCAATCAAGGTGGACACTAAGGTTACCAAGCTCTTCATGTATGAACACGAGTGCATGAACCTGTACTCCAGGTAATGTCTTGAAGCAGCTGTCATCCCAAATCCGAGTTTCCTTATCAGCTATTCGATGGACATCTGCCTTCTGCGTGATGCAATGATCTTTACAAGACAGTTTGCAATGCGTTAGCCACCTTCATGTTCCAGAGGTCCAAACCAGACTTAGTTAGCACCAACTGCTTATTCAAAGTCCTTTTGTGAGTGACTTTGACAAATAGAAGTACTTACCATGAAGCTGATTGCCTTCAGGCAGCTCAGCTACAGGTCAATATATACCAGTGCCCTCCCACCCTGCAGCCGTATCCCCCAGTTACAAATCCACCTCACTCATCCTAGACTTTACGAGTTGGCTGAAGGAAACCTGTCTTCGGTATGCTCAGGAGCTCAGAACCATGAAGGAAAACATGTCTTATATGTCACAGGCTTAACACACGTTGGGACCTTGCTTTCCTTAGAGACACGAGAACAACCAGAGTGCCCTTTACTCTTTCTCAACACAGTCCCGTAGGACAGTATCCAAGCAAACATTGGTGTCCACCACAACCCCCAGATACCAATAAGAATCAACAGTTAGGACTGATGCCTTTCGTATCTTCCGATCAATACCTGCAACGTCCACTCTTGAGCTGCACAGTGCCTTATTACCGCACTTGGGGGCACCCACCATCATGTCCCACTGAGTGACCCAGTGTTCAAGATGGTGAGTGTAGCGCACGAGATCCCCAAGTGAGTCCGCCAACAGCACAATATCATCTGCAAACAGAAATGCCGCAATTCAGTCAGGAATGCCTAGAATAGATACACCAAGTCCACCTGTATAGGAAGGTGAACTCACGAAATGGGTGGTTTTAGTTAGCTTAAGTCCCATTATAATTTCAGCGTACCTGTTTAGTCTATTTTACCTGGAAAAGTATGAATAAATAGCTTTGAAGCATCCATCTATTTCTTCAAAAAGGGAAATGTCATTATATGCCTCTTTAATGGCCAGAGCTTCTGAGTGTACCACAAAGTGCTGCCCAAGTAGCCATGGAATATCTACCTGCAATAAAATGACGGCATAGATTGGTTCATCATGTACAATAAAAGAACGGTTTAATAAGCTACACTATATTACTGTGTTGATCCAAATTTAGTCAAAACAATTTCTGCTATTTCTGGATTATGGCATTTTAGAGACTCTTTCCTCCACTTGCCTATGCTTAAAAACACAGCTGTAAGGTTGGCAGATGCTAAGACATTTGGTTACGCATTGGGGTGTTACTAGAATTAAAACCAAACCACAACAGCTTGCAATTATATAGCTCCCTTCACGCTGTAGTGTCTCGGAGCGCTTACAACACTAGTTCAACTTCTTTATCACTCAGGAGCATAGCCATGTTAAGAGACAATGACCAAGCTTTGAAATGATACCCGATATAAAGGGTGCTATATAAAGGCAAATTGTTGTTGCTTTAATTTGAAGAAATCCTACAGTTTCTCCTACCAATAATACTGTGTAGTACATAAATATTAAGTATGATTCTGTGCAAAGAATTCTTAGAACTGAATCCATAATCCTAACAATTCTTTGCTAAGCAGTATGTAGACCAACTGGTATGGCATTGAAGTTATCTTTGAAAAATGAATCTCACTTCACTCACTTCAGTGCATACGTATACCTAATATAGATAGGCTAGAAAAACATTGCACTTGCATTTCAAACTCTTTTCCCCACTCTGTGTATTGTTGCCGTATTTTTCTAGAAGCTCTTAATACTTCAGGAATGACAGTTTTAAAGGGAAAAAACATTGTGAGTAATATACAGTGTTGTCAATTTCAAGATAAGGCAACATTTCTAAATTTGTAAAAGTTTCAAATCTGATATTTGTTCTTGGCAAGTTAATTAAATGTTTTGTGATATTAGTTCAGTGATTACCTGTAGCAATGCTCCAAGAAATGCAAGGCTTTCGATGGCTCAGATTTAATTTTTACCAGTGGGAAATTCCATGAGTAAAAGTAAATTCCCAAGGCTTATCATCAAAGCTTAAATGTAATTCTCTATCACCCCAGAAACATTCATTAATATACTGTAATATAAAACAATATCCCTATTCTGATCATTTAAATAGCATTTCCAAGTAGGAATGCCATTTGGTTTGACAGACCAAAATCTTTTAAGAGCAAACATAACTATTTTACCTTAAGCTTGACATGAAGGCCTCCTTTTGAACCCATCATGATGGCTGATCCATTTGTTGTTATCATTGCCATAGATTGGAAACAGATCTGGTGTTCAACATAGAACTTCTTTATGGATTTATATAGGGACATAGCATCAGCCTTACCATCCAAATACAGCAGCTTTATGAATTTTACCTGCAGCTCTGTCTGTATACAACATATAAAAAAAAGTTTTTTTAAAAAATTAATAATAATCCACTCCTCCTCCTCCTTTTGAAACTAAGCTAGAAAAGTGGATAATTAGATATAAATGTTGAGAGAGAACAAAAAATATAAAGTTTACACTGGTTGTAACAAAGAAAAAAGTTTTAAAAGATTTCACCTTTGGAATACAATAGCTCAAGTGCTAAAGTATCAGCCCTCTGAATAGCACATTAAAAGGTATGTAAGTGAACACTGATCAAGATTCCAATTCAGTTACGTCTCTCGATAATCTTTCAATAGTTCACTGCCACCAAATCTCTAGATTGTAGGCTAAAGTAAGACAGCCAGCAGAGCTACTAGATATTACAATCTGTTCGCCAATACCAGAAATATGTTTCATTAGTTCTTGGGATACCTAGAAGTGGTGGGACTTTCCATTGCAAAACAAAATATGTCACACTTGCTTTCCCTCAACTACATTTTAGCTAACATCTATTGCTTGATAGTAGCACAGTTCTGAATATTGTACAATTTTCAGCCAGTGAACTCTTGATGGAAGATTATCATTCTCAAAAGAAGGGATATTAATGCACGGCTAAATGTTGGTAACAGTTTCATTGTTCATTTATGTAGATAATAATGATTTTTCTCCCTCTCCCAACATTTGAATACTAAAACCATCATTAAGACAAGGAATTCCCCAATTGAGAAAGCATGCTTCAATATCAGTGATTACACATGTATTAAATTCTTAGAATTTAGTAGAAGTCTACCAAACATATCAAAACATTTAAATTTCTGTAAACGATCCGCAAAATTATAATCTCTATCTACTCTTCAGATGTAAAACAAATGACTAAATGTGGGGAACATAAAAAAAAAACTATATGGCATTTATCACGACCTACCTGTCAGAATATTTTGTCTAGTTCCTGAAAGCAATACAAGCAAAAGGCAAGTATATGGATTGCATCTAGTTCAAATTCACTGAAATTAAGATAATGATATAATGAAAACCATGTTAGGAAACTGTCATTATATATTCCTGATCTTGGAAATAACTCCCTTAGTAGTTAAGTTGATTGCAATTTTTTCACTGAGAATTGGACAAATATGCATCCTATGAAAGCCCACCCCCAGTAAAGAAAGACAAGTGGAGAACTTTACCTTTGCTAGGAATTTTGTGTACATCAGCAGGTGCTTTTCAGTGGCAAACTCTGTACTTTCATCGACAACCAGAGAATGAACCCTGGCTTGCTTTAATGCCCTCAAGTTTTCTGCCTCAACCGGTTCGTTAAGTGCTGCAACAAATTGCCAGCTATAATTTTTGCTTCTGTGCCGTCTACCCAAAGACACACCATGGGTCTCTATTAACCTATAATAAAAAATAGTTGTGAGAAAAATATAATGTAAACAACATGGAAGAAATTTATTTTTGTAGAAGTACTACATTTCTTTACCTGTGTAAGCTTTTAGCTTTGGAAATGGGTAACTGTTCCTTGATTAACCAAAGAACATTTCTTAGGAGATGAACAATGTCATCTTTTGTATCACTGCTCAGAGCATCAGTAAATAGTGCCTTCTCCCAGTTGGCTGCATTTAACGGGACAGACAGCGCCTGAAGGTGTTCCCTGCTGGCCAGGTGGCGAAGCATATAATCTTTTTTCCAACCACCTTGTGGTTCAGACCTACCGCTTGTCCACTCTGTATCAGTAATGCTATTATCAACACAGACTCTAAAATAGAACACACAAACCAAAAAAAGTTTGTTTCCCTTGCATAAAAATCCATAAATATCAACACTGTTAATTTCAATGATACTTGCTTGTTAAATATAGATTCTTACTTGCAAAAACACTTGTTTTGCTGCTCATCATATACGAAACAGAACAGCCGTGGGTCCATTTGAAGCCATGATTTGATTCTACAATTACTTGCTCTACATCTTTTCACTGCTGCAAAATCGGAGTCGGAATTTTCTTTCAACTGACCATTAATACTATTAGCGTATAAATTGTCAGCCCCACCTTTGTCTTCATCTTCATCAATCTCATGGCCATTAACACATTCCTCCTCAGAATTCTGCAGAAAAATATAGTGAAATTACATTTTAAGTGATGACTTTTAAAATGAACTCATCATTAAAACAATTTTTAAAAAGTCAATCAAAAATGTTACCTCGGATGATCTTGTAGTTTTACGCTGAAACAATTCTAAAATAGAGCGATGTATTGTATGTCCATCCAAACTGGAAAATGTGAAACATGAAGTTAAAAATAAAATACGAAATGCTTAAATAAAAAAATGATAATTTTTAAATGTGTTTTTATCCCTTTTGCTTCTGTGATCACCAAAAAGGTTTTAAATCCTCTCTAACCCTCTCTTAATATCTCATATTTGGAGAACTCCTACTGGCATCACCTAATAATGCTCCCTTAAGGAATCAAAATCATTTCTTTTAATTATGAAAGCTAGCAGCTTCCCAAATCAGTAACAAAGAGTCATTCCATTCTAGAGAATCTGCACAATTTTAATCACCTAAAGAATTTCGACTCATCTTTGATTTTGGTAATTTTGAAACACCAGGCTTCTTCATTAACAGAGAATGGATTCCCCTATGGCAATAATTATCAAATGATTGTACTCTAGAAACTACAAGTCACTTAAAAAATTCCCCATTTTCTCCTCACTATATATGAAACATCAAAATAAAACCACAGACAAAAAAGCTAGCTTGTTGTTTTTATCTATTCACAAACTTAATTCTCCATTATTCAATCACACATATTCCTATACACTGACGATCAGTTTCATCACAATGGTTTCTGAGTCATTTTGCGCAGTAACATCATATGGCCCTGTGTAATTAGTTGATTGTGGTTATTAATTATTGTTATGGAATCTAGAATTCATGCAGAAGTGCATACACTCTGCAATGTTCTGTATTTATCGAAAGTTCAAAAGCCTGAATTATTTTGGTACTTCAAGCTTTAAGGATCCTTGACTACCCCATAATATTATTTTATTAAAAGGAATAAAAACACATTTAAATCACACTATATATTTTTTTTCCTCTTACCTTTCAAAACATAACTTGCACCCTTTTAGCGTCATAACTGCACATGAAAACCAGCTGGTCCTTCCACAGCCTTGCTGAGTTCCTCCATAGTTGCCCCATCTTGTCAACGAATATATTTGGCGATTCTCAAATGCTTCAGCAGTCCTTTCCTCACTGCAGCTCCAAAGCTTCCTCAAGTCCCCAATAACACCAAAAGGATAGAAAACTACTGACCACAGTTCCGGATCCCTGATTGATTTAAAAGCTGACCACACGCTTTTTTTAAAAAATTGTATACAGGCCAATTTTCAGTTTGCCAGTTTGCAGGGAAAAGAACAGCAGAAGCGCATATGACTGCAAAAAAACTCAGCAAATGTACTTGTATGTTTGTTCACAGAAATACTGCTCTAAATCTACTCTGTACATTGTACACAAAACTAAATTATGCCAAATTACTCTGACGTGCATTTCCCCTCCACCCATTTCATAAAGATATAAATGCCTGAAAAGAGACTGGTAATGCATTAACTGGTGGACACTTGTATCAAAATCTCAACCAAAAGATCTATTCTCAAAACCATTCAGTTTTGCTGTTAATCGGTTTACTGTTATTGCCATCTGCCGAACATTTGTGGCACATTCTAGAACAATGGCTGAATTCAAAATTGCTGCAGCACTTGGGCAAAAATCTTTGTAAATACCCTAAAGATTGTTATCATAACATCTGCAGTGATACAAAAATACCATGTGCATCACAAACGAAAGACTAATTTATAGGTTATTCCTCATTTCTTCAAATGTCTAAAATTCTCCAAAAAAAATGCTAGAGTTGTTACGAGCAGCAATATGTAAGAATTGCTGGTGAGGGAACATGTCACCCTCAGTGCCAATAGGAGGGAGATACTTCAGCAGTGCGTGGAGGATGATGAATGAGGATAAAAAGATTACCTTGTAGGGGGCTTAATTATTCTATGAGTGGCAACATTCTCCATACACCACGAGAGTACCCTTCTCTCACTGGCACCAGTAGGTAACATTTGCCAGGGTCAAATATTATCTACAGGCAAGGAGTAAGTAGCATATTCCTGTGGTATATGAAGGATGTAGAACTGTTTTTTCTACAGTTGTTTAAATTAAAATTTTAAAATCTTTCTCTGCTGTTACGTCATAACATACTGCTTTGATTAGTTTTGTTTCACGATTTGAATTACTTCGTTACCCACTCAAATACAAAATCACAAAAGAAAATCAAATGTTCTGTATCACATCTACAATACAAATAGATTTAAACACAATGTTAAATACTAAAAGATATTTAAAATTAGATTTTAATCAAAGTGAAAAGGTCCAAGAATAAAATGTGTGCTTTTATGCATTATAATGCAAAAGTTGTCCATCAGAGGACATTCAATCTTGGATGACTAAGAGCTGCCCCAGCCTACTAGTTTGCTTACTGGTTTTTATAGCTGGTTTAATTCAATTGATATTTACAATAAATTATTTTGTTTCTATAAACGATTTTTACTGCCACATAATAAACAACCACAAAGAGGCAATCCTGCTCATGCATTGTCTCAACAGAATGCAGGAAAAAAATTATTTTTATCTTACAAAAGTGCACTTGTCAATCTTTGCTGACTTTCTAAATCGTGGAAAAATCAATAGGGAGGGGAATAATTTAAATTCCAGCTCAAGAATACAGGTGAATTATCTGAAAATGGAGGAAAGGAAGAATACGACATTCACTCCATCAAAGCAAAAAAGAATGTGAAGCAAAATATTGGGCATACAACCAGAGGCCCAACCAGGCCAAAGAAAAATGAGGCAGTTTATATTAAAATACAATCTAAATTAAGTGGAGGCTTTGCAAATGCTTTACTTAAAACAGTTTGATATCCAAATATAGTGTAATACTATCTGGTGCAACCAGTTCCTTTAAACTTTACTGTTAAAATGATCAACTAAAAATAAAATGCTCCATTGTGCTATTTTTAAAATGCCATTCTTAGAAAAATACAATGCAATCAGACCCACTAGAAAATGAGTTTATAACACAAAATGAGCAAGGTTGTCTCAATTCTTTGTTATTGGGTAACTTATCACCATTAATGGAATAGTATTAACAACAATTACATTTGTATTAACACTGGGATACTAAAATATTTAAGTAAGGCATTGAATAGCTCCACTTCATTTAACTTGTTTTTTAACGTAAACTGACTTATTGCCTTCAAGTTAGAAAGTTATTGGTTCAAACTTCATATAGGGACTCAGAACTTGCAGGCTATACTGACACTCCATTGCATTGTTGTATGAACACCACATTGTCGGAGATGCGGTCTTTCGGATGATACATTAAACCAAAGTACCACCTGCCAATTCAGATGGATGTTAAAGATCCTATGGCACTGTTCAAAAAGAAGATAGTTTCTCCCAGTGCTCTGGCCAATAATCCTGCAGATAAAATTGATCATTCCCTTCATGGGTATTCGTGGGACATGACTGTGCGCTGACACAGTAACTAAATTTTCAATAAATCCCTTGAAGCACTTCCAGACATCCTCTCGACGTGAAAATCTCATCAAATGCAAGGATTATTTAATAAACATTGGCGCTTGCCAACATTACCCTCTCTTTTTAATATAATGTAGCCTGAATTAAGTATATTAACTCAGCTGCTAGATTTCACTTGTGTATGTAAAGGAGCAAGGACATGCTCCACCAAAATCCTAAATACAACATTATTCGCATGAAACAAAACCACTTTTGCTTTTATCTTCTAATCCCTGTGAAGCGCTTTGGGACGTCTAGAAGACGTGAAAAGCGCTATATCAAATGCAAGGAATATTATTATTATTATTAGTGGCTTCGGAACTTCTATCAGGAATTGACCAACACAAACCACTTATATTCTCACAAAAAAGTTTTAAGAGTTTTTTTTATTTGTAATGAATTTCAGTCCAAACAAATAAGAATTGCAAAATGTTTTTCATTAACTTGTGGAAGTGACCAAACTTCAAGTGTTCAAGTTGTCAATTAGTTTTAAGCATTTGTCATCTTGTCTTTAATTTTCAGGTAAATACTGTAAAAGTACAACAAAAATCCCTTCAAAGGATGTATTGTTTGGGATTTCAATAGTGCCTAAGCTTATGAAAAGAATATTATGCAACAGACTTTTGTATCTGTAAATAATCGACAAGACTACAACATCCATAAGGGGTTATGGACACACAGAAACCTCCTAAAATGTTCCCAAGAGATTTTACTATATACTGCTAAAAAAAGTGCATATAATTACTTACAATAGTGCCACTATTATGGCTAACAAATTTCCAAAGCCATTTCACATCATGCAAAGTACAATGTTTTAGCTAACATAAAACAATATACAGGATTTAATAGTATTTAGCATTTAAAGTCTCACCACCCAAATGTTTCTTTGCTGGCTATGCATAATTGTATAGATTTTCCAGTTTCCCTTTGTACAAAAGATCATCTGTCACTCTGACAGATATTATGCTGATATTCATGCATCACACATCTTCACTAATGAAGACACACCATTCACCAATTCACAATAAGTACCTTTCTAACTTTATGAATGGAAATCTGAGTCTTGGATACCTAGTCCTCCTTGTTAAAAAAGGTGCTGTCAGTAGTCCTGTCATCATAACAATATAACTTTATACATATTTACCTTTATGTTATTAGGTTATAATATACTACAAATCACTACCTATTAATTCTTTAGTCATATAACATAAGAAAGAACATACTATTTGTGCAGTACATTAGTGGCAGAAAGATGTACAACATGATGGAAATATTAACATGTCCCTACACTGAATAAAAGAGGAAAGTGGTTTTCTGATAATCAGTTGTACTTGTTCCTAAACTGAGAAAATAAATATATAGGATATCTGAATTCCTTATTGGGCTCAAATCAGATCATACAAGAACATTCCGATATCCCCTACTTAATTCATCATTACACCACTAGACTTTTACTGAAACCATTGTGATCCTCAACACTCTCTTCAGAATATGCAAACAATATTTTCAGTTTTTATTCCACTGTATGTCAGTGGAAAGTACAATCAACGTTTACATCCATTACCATTTAAACCTCCATTGCACTGGGTGCTCATTTGAAGATTTTTAAGATGAACGGTGATCACAGAATAAACATCATTGTGCTGGTGCATTTCCACAGTTCTTCCACTTGTAAGACAATGCCCTTGCAACTCACTCATAGGACTTTTGAATTTTGAGTCTTTCCACTGATGGGCCTGAAATGCATTTCACTGTTGCCAGACCTAATGAACTCAATTTATGCCCCATCAATGTTTTCCTACCAATTTCAATAAACTACATGAGACCTCACAGTAAAGAATTATCAAATGCAAAGTTGATGCAACTGTTTCATTCTATCTGAAATTCGAAGTGGAAAAATATTCAACAAAAATAAAAAGGATGAGGATGTAAAAATGGAAAACAGCACTTTCTTTTTTTTAAATAAAAAGTTAAAAAAAGACGTTTAACAAATTATCAGATAGCCACAAAACAAAACCAGAATACTGACAAAAGAAATGAATTCAAAACGTGCAATAATAGCCATCACGCTGGTAAAATACATGTGGCATGCAAACATTGAACATTAAAGCAGGGGTTGAATTTAACACTTGCCGGTACTCCCAGGATTAGTCAAGATACTTGTTTTTAAAAGAATTGATTACAAAAGATCATTATAGCCATAACAGTCTTCCAATCTCCAAAAAGAGAACAAATGCATTAATAGCATGTCGTAAAACATTCAATAAGAAATAAAGAGCAAGACTGAATGCCTTATAAGAATCTCATGTGTCAGGCTCGAGAAATTCCCCCTCTTGGGCTACCAAATTAAAAGTTGGTAGAGTTCCCAAAATATTTTTTAAAACATATTTCTAACCCCTGCATTAACATTTTAACCATTACCACACACTTTGATCTTTTTGGTCATAACTTAATATCATTATCTGGAGGCTTTTATAAAAAAAATTCTAAGAGAGTGAACAATTTTGCACTCTATAGCGGCATCAAAACATTTTTCAAACAAGTTTTCAAAATTGCATAATAGTACACAAGTTAATTTACAACAACAGCTGAAAAGCCACGTGACATATAGCATTAATTAATTTGAAAAACTATGCTAAAATTGTTAAAATTCAAGGCTCTGCTCACTCCCATAGAATAATGCAGAATACCTCACCAGTGACCCGAGAGTTCCAGTTCTACTCGTTCACTCGTGCGAAGGATCATCCTAACTCACTTGTGCCTGCAGCATTTGTGAGTTACGGCCAACTCAATGTCACCGGTGAGATATCCTCAACGCCACACAAGATTACTGCAGACGTCAGGCACAAGGAGATCCCAATCAATTTCAACTAATAATCACATAAAAATGACAATGGGCTCTCAAGTGTACAACGAATTCCACTGCATCTTTTAAACTGCACTAACCTGATCAATCTTTAATATTTCTTTACTATTTATGACAACATACCAATCACACAATCTCAACTCAGGCTCTTAATTTGAATCATCTTAATGGCCAGACATTGCAAATGGAATAAAATTAAAATTTTAAAAAAGCAAAATCAAAAGAAAATATATGTAAAGAGAAACTGCAATTTTAAAGCTAACAACTACCGTAGCAACAATGTTAAATTTTCAGATTTCCAGCATCTGCAGTATTTGGGGTTTTGTTCATGTTAAATTGTTGGTTGCATGTAAAGATTGAAAACACACCAATAAAAATGCTGAGCATGCTATTTCCATGCTATTTGGTAACTATGAATTAGCTGAAGTATTTAGACCAGGAGATGGAAGGGATGATTTAAAGATCAGGTATCAGCTGTGTGTTTTAATTGATTTGTGGTCTACCATTCCAAACTAGAAGTTGTATGTTCAGATACAATAACCATTATTGGACTTGATGGACCTTTTAAAGAACCCATGGAGTGTCACTTAGAAAAGCAGCCATCATTCTTTGATAGGGAATGTCAACCCGAACAAATACCTGAGAGACAGCTAATCAATTAAAGCTTTGACCGTGAATTTCATTCTCCTTAATGTCGCTCTGACTCTGGGTACTAATGTTGAAATTAAGCCAGTGACATAAGGATCAGAGCAACAATCTATAGTGTATGCAGCCAAATTCCTCTATATTGAGTTGCGATTAGGATATCACACCGGTGACAATACATAAAAATACATTTCATTCATATCCGCAAAATTCCATAATTTACAAGCAATACAGGCACAAGTGATATCTGGATAAAACATTTCACAAATGAAAAGCAACACGATTAACAGGAACACCGTCTCTGGTGCTGCAGTGAAATACAGAGCACAAGATCTCAATTGGACATCCAAAATGTATTTTGAATTGGGAAATGTGAGCAGCTTTATTGAAGTCATGTAAATACCCTGAAACACATTTTTTTTAAAAATCCGTGGCAACTTACAAATAGTGAAGTCACTGTGATATCAATGGTGGTATATGTGAAACACATTTATTATATTCAATATTGCTGAAGCAGAATTTAAACAGCACGAAGCTATAACTTCCATGTACTTATTTATTCTTGCGACACGACTTGTAATTTTGCTGCTCACAAGATCAACTGTTCACACACGTGAAGTGAAAAGCAATGTCACATATGCGAGAACATTTCACAGACAGCAACAGAACGCAATGTTTATTATAGAAAACATACAAAATGAGACGCACATCCCTGAAGAATAAATAGAATCGCTCACCATTCCAGGCTTTCCTTCACTCAAATGAAAGATAAGCGCAACTCATGTCACACCTGTGGCAGTATTGAGTTAAGTATCTTTCATATTCATGAAAGAAGCTGCATAATAATAATAACATGGTAAGATATCAAGTTATGTTTAAGGTGTCCATCAAGGCACACATCTGTACAGAACCCTGTACATGTACAGGTTACCAATCAGAATATGTGGGCATATATAATATTTTAGTGATTGGGCATATATTCCCTATCCCCCCACCGCTTTGGCAGCATGCAAGAATTATTCGGAACCAAACTGGTGTCATTCCAATAAATCGACAACAAACCAGCAACCGCTTTTACACACTGAACACCTTAAACTGCGCCAACGTGGAGCTTTCACTTGAATTTAAACACGTATCAATCGATCGCACCCTCTCTCTCTCTCCTCGTTAGGTACACGAGGAGGAGCCAAGGTTATGCTGAGAGTATTCTTGATCGCACGTTGTGTGCGTTTTCTTAAGATTATGATGATAAGGCAAGAGAGGAGAGAGGGTGGGGGGGAGAGAGGAGGAGAGGAGAGGAGGGGGGAGAGGAGGAGAGGAGAGGAGGGGGGAGAGGAGAGGAGAGGAGAGGAGGGGGGAGAGGAGAGGAGAGGAGAGGAGGAAGAGAGGAGAGAGGAAGAGAGGTGGGGGGGAGACGAGGAGGAGGAGAGGGGGGGGAGGGCAGCCAAGTCCTCTCTTGTGCTCTTGACAGAATAGTAAACACACGATCTCCCCCCTGAGTACTCATCTCTTGACACAACAGGGCCCTGGATCAGCTCAAAAAGCACGGCAGCCACATACATACATACACACACACACACACCAGTTCCCTTACCTCGTCTTTCTGGATGTAGGAGGCCGGGATGTAGCCCACTTCCCCGGTGCTGCTCTTGGATGCTAACCACCAGTGCTGGTTGCTCCGCTCCAGGATAACGAAGCTCTCGCCCGCCGTGAAGTGCAGCGAGTGCGGCTCGGCCGAGTGGAAGGTGTACAGAGCCCGGTACATGGCGGCCCGGAGGAGGGGGGGGAAGGAGGAGAGGAAGGGGAAATGGGGAGGGGGGGAAGAAGGCTGGAAAACCCGGTGAGGCGCGAGCGAGAGCGCGAGCGAGTGAGAAGGCCGGGCCGGAGTGAGGTGCAGGGGAGAGCAGAGCAGAGCGGGGTTGAGTCGGAACCGAGTAACCGACCCCCCCCCCCCCCCCGCTCCCTCGCCTCGGAGGAAAGCGGACTCGCGCGTGGACCGGGTTCCCGCTCGCACTCCTGCGACGGTTGGGGTCCGGCGGCGGCTCGCGCTGTGGCGGTTTCGCAGCGGAGCGGGCGAGCTGCTGCTGCTGTTGTTGTTGCAGCAGCGCTGGCTGCTGCTGCTGCTGCTGCGTGCGGCTCGCGCACCCCAACTGCCAACCACCGACGGACTGCGGCTCCCTCGCGCACAGCGCGGCACTGCGCACGCGCCCTCCTCCCACCCACCCACGGTCAGTGTAAACACTGCGGCTTCGGAAAGGCGCCGCGAGCGAGCGAGTGAGTGAGTGCGCGCGCGCGCGCGGCGTCCGTCCGTCCGGTCCCCGCCCCGCTCGCGCCTCACGTCACGCCGCTGCCTGAAAAACGCTCACGCAGAAGCTCGCAGCCCCCCCCACCCACCCACCCCACCCCCCCCTGCGCGCGCGCGTGTGAGGTATTTTTTGAAAGAAAATTTTTAAATTCCTTCCCCCCCCCTCAAAAAAAAAGGAACCGTGTGTTTTATCCCTCTCCCCCCCCCATCAAAAGCTCCGTCAGTCCGCCGTTGCTGCAGCTGAAGGGCAGGTACGTCCGCCGCCGGTGCCACGCGACCGTCGAGCGAAAAGAAAACCAACCGTCCGACGCGACGGATTAACGGCGAACCCCCGTGAAGGGGGGTGGAGGGGGGGGTCGGGGGCTGTTCTTCCTTCCCCGTGAAGCGAACGGGCGGAGACTGTAATCGATGGACCACACACGCGTGCTGGTGGGGAGGGGGTACTTTTACCCTCTCTTCACCCCCCCCCCCCCCCCTCCTTCATTCCCTCAGCCCTTTCCTGGTCGGTTCGGTTCTTGCGGCAGTTGCCGTCCCAATGAAAACAAGGCACCACCTTGTGTGTGTGTGTGTGTGGGGGGGGGGGGGGTCACCGATAATAATAATAATAATAATAATAACCACAATCATTATCATCACCACCACCACAATAATAATAGTAATAATAACCATTGCCTTCAGAAATCGCCATCGTCGATTTTTTAAAAAAAATAACCGTCGTGATTCGGAGGGAAGATTTACTTCCCTCGAGATCCAACCGTTAATATTCAAAATATATTACCCCCTCCCCCCCCCCCCCCACACACACAACACAACACACACAATATATATATATATATATAGTTTGTTTATGCAGGGACACCCCTCCCCCTCTGTCACTCACTCTCTCACACACACTCACGACCCACTGTTTAATATTCTCTCCCACGCGAGAGAGGGGACTGTCGTCCCTCTCGGAAACCCGCTTCCCAACCCCGGGGGCTTCGGGATAAATAAATTCTCCGGGAAGTGAGGTTTTGTTTTGTTTCTCCCCCCCCCCCCCCCCCACACACACACACTACTCTCCCCCCCCCCCCCAAAAAAAAAACAGGTTGAACGATCCCCCCGCAACGGGGGAAACAAATAACATATCTAATAAGATCCTCGCTAACCCTGACAGCAAATCCACATAAGCAGAGGGTCGGGGTGGGGGGGGAGGGGGTCGGGGTGGGGGGGTAACGTAACCCATCACTCGCAAAGCAAGTCCAAAAAAAACCATTCTGTCCACTATCGTTTCCCCTCTCAGCCCCAACGTGTGTGTGTGTTGTGTGTGTTGTGTTGTGTGTGTACACCACATAAAGGTGCGACATGGCAGTCCTGCCTTCCCCAACCGACAGACACGTTTGAACAGTCAGAAAATATACATTTTATATTTGTATATGCACATATATATATATTATTGCGGATGTTAGGTTCCGCGTCCATCGAAGGCATCCCAACTTGATCGTGGAGGAGGGAAAAGTAACCGGGACAAGTTTTAACGCCCATCGCGCTTTTTTTTTGAGATAACAGTCACTTAACATGTTTCTGCGTTGCGTTCCCGCACGGCAGTGTTTAGCAATCAATTTTAAAGATAGGTCGCACCTTTCAATATATTATATTTGAAAATGAAAGCTTTATTCCAAACCAGCCACAACTTCTCGTGAACTGGTCAATCTGGACATCAACCATCAAATCACATTTGTGCAGCGCCTTTCAGGTTGGAAGGATGTCCCAAAGCGCTGGACAAGCAGTGTTTCGGACCGGAGCTGGGGGTCGGGATTGGGGAGGGTGGGGAGGAAGGAGGGCGACTGAAGGTATGGTCGAGGAGCAGGGTCTTGAGACTGGCCTTGAAAGAGGCAAGGGAGGGGGCGGGGGTTGTGGGATGGAGTTCCAGATGGTGCGGGCAGAGTGGCTGAAAGCCCGCCTGCTAATGGTGGGGCGGGCGAGGCAGGGGACATGAAGTAGGCCGGAGTCCGCTGAGCAGTGGTCCTGGAATTGAAGGTGGAGGTAGAGAGGTAGAGTTGGGTGTCATTCGCATGCATGTGGAAGTTGACCCCATGTCTATGGATGATGTCACCAAGGAGGAGCATATCGGTATTGGAAAGGAGAGGGCCAAGGACAGAGCCCTGAGGGACACCACACATGACAGTGTGAAGGCTGGAGGAGAAGCCATTAGTGGAGACAAAGTGAAAACGGTGGGAGAAGTAGGATTCAAACCAGGCAAGGGCAGATCCGCGAAAATTGAGCTGAGAGGAGGGGCGGTGTAGGATGATAGAATGGTTGACTGTCGAAGGCAGCAGGGAGGTCGAGGAGGACAAGGAGGCAGAGAGGGAATCTCAGGAATTGTCTTAAAAGAGTGAGGAAAGTGGGTGGCAGGACAATTAATTTAATAGCTAAGAAAGGGCCAATCTGTTAATGCAAAGGATTCATACCATTTAGAAAGTGACGGGCTGGCGTCTGTCATGATCTTCAAATTAAACAGAAATGGATTGTAGGAATGCACTCACTTGTAATTAAGGGCAGGCAATTTATAGTGAATCCATGAAATGAGTTCATAGGTTGAAGTCTTTCCATGAGCCTGTCAATTACATCTTTGTTACTATTCCTTTTCTGTTATTGTCATGCAATTTTAATGTGTTTTATGTTGAGGAAATATAGATTCATATTTTGCATAAAATTTGTTTCTAAGTTTTGGACTTGTACTGAAGATCACAGATGTGGCGGGAGGAGAGAAGCAGCTCACTGGAGACTGGAGCAGGGCTGGTAAGATCTCTGAGTTCATTGATCGATAGATCGGGTTTGAGGAGTGGAGGCAGTTCAATAAGCTCAGTTGCACCTCAGTTTGGTCATTTCAATGATCAGTGGAGGTAAAGGTAGCTTAGAATTAGAATTCAAAAGAATTAAGCCTCAACAATTGGACCCTTCTCAGTTTGTCTTTGAATGTTATATTCACTTCAAGTATTGATTAAAAAATGACCAGGAACGAAATCTGCACTGGAGTATAAGCATGTACTAGGAGTTCAAATATGAAACAGATTCCCACCCCACTTTTCTAATATTAGCTCACTGTTATTAACTCATGCAATTTAATCAGGGTGTTTATGATTTGGGCCTATTTTTATCCACTTGTGATAATGTATGAAAGTTTTGTAATGGTAAATTCTACAGGCTGAGCTTCTAGCTACCCCCTCCTTTCTAACCTGTTGATTCCTTTCATTATTTTAAATGCCTCAATCAAATCACCTCTGCTTTAAGGAATATAACCCCAGTCTACCATAACAGATAAATACTTTCAGCGTATATTTAGTGCCCAAAATTGAATGACGTCTGATTAGCACTCTATATAAATGCAGATCCAACTCCTTACTTTTATATTCCAGATCTTTTGCAATAAGTGCCATCATCCGAATTGCATTATTGACTGCTTTTTGCAGCTATGAACTACATTTTAATTATCTATAAACTTGTAATTCTAGACCGCTCATCTACCTCTCCTGGAGCTTTCCCATTTAGAACATACACTCACCTACTATTCTTCTATCCAATGTGTACTACTGCCCATTTTGTATTGTTAAACTACATCCTCCAATAGTTCTACCACTCGCACAATCTAACTATGTCTCTTTTTTGCAGGTTCTCTTCACAATTTACAACATCTCTCAGCTTAGTGTCACCAGCAAACTTAGAAATAGTCCCCTCTATATCCAGGTCATTGATATAAGGTGAAAAGCTATAACGACGCCATAAAATTTCAAGGCCGTTCTGCTAGAATCATCTTTCATACAAATATACTGAATATCATACCAATGTATTCCATAGTAGCTTTGACTTTCCAACAAGGTTAAGGAGTAATCACTCCAAGGATAAGTCAGGAGAAGTTAATCTTGAGTGGACACAACGTGTCATATTTGTCTTTAGAAAAAATCACTACACTTGACAGTAATTATCTATTAAGTGCTTTGAGACTATAAAAATGCAGTATTTTTTATAAGAACATGAGAATTTGCTAGGTGAAAAACCAAGATCTGTCCAGTTCGCCTTCCACCATCCTGGCAGTCGCTTCACATGTCGTGTCCCAAACTATATTAGCGAATCCAGTGTTATTATTTTCTAGCAGAAATCTAATTTGTTCTTGAAAGAAACACCATTTTCTGCTTCCACTGTCTCCCTAGGGAGCCTGTTACATATTTTTTTTCTGTAATTTAAATGAAAAGAGCTACAATTGAGGAGAGGCTGGCAAAATCATCGGTCCAAAAAAGGAAAAGAAAGATGATGCACCAAGTAAGAAAGGACAAACGAAACGTTTCCTAATTGGTCTTTCTCAGAAAACAAGGGGGCAAAAATTTTAATCATTCCTTATCATGTCAAAACCTTCAGAACAAAAGTTAGGGAGTGACTTTGATACAGCTTCAAATAAAAGGTACATTTAATACTCTGGTGCCATCAGGTGGTAATGCTTGGTAGTTTCTTGGTGATACTAATGGGAAACCACAAGTACGTAAGCCTGTCTAATCAGTTACTTCTTTCTCTTTGATCCTATTTACTGCATATAAGGTATAAGGTGTTCGATGTTCCGCTAAAACACGAACAGTTTTCCAAATACATTCCCGAAAGTCCTTCAATAAAGACGTTAAAAGGACAGAAGAAAGACTTGCCTGAGCTGTAAAGCTCAATTAGTAACCGTGGGTCACAAGTTCATAATCCTTGCATTTTATATTGTGCCTTTCATATCAAGAGGACATCATAAAGCACTTCACAAGATTTTATTGTGAAGTGTAGTGACTGTATTTAAAGGCAAATACAGCTGCCAATTTGAACAGAGCAGTCTCCCACAAACAGGCAAGTGAGTGACCAATTTTATTGTGGGGGTTGTTGGCCAGGATTAAATGGTATTCAGTTGTGGAGAATGTGAATTATACTGAACATTTGTGAAATACCATTTATAAAGGAGAACTACCTGTTGCTGTGGGTTGACTTTCACTTGACCTGGTTATGGAGTCAACCCAAACTGATGGGTAAAAGTATTCTTGGTGGCATTGGAGTAGCCCTGATTTGGTTCCAAGTAAACTTAAGTCCCGGCACAAAATTGTCCCAATCAGCTGATCTCATTCATAAAAGCAATTAAATGTTTAAATTAAGAAATGCTAAATTCAATCTGGCACAGTAGGGGATCGCTGGAATGCGAGGAGCGTTATACTAAAGAGCTATGCTTTACCTGATTGAAAGTGTTTGATAGTAACATAAGAGTGCCTGAAATGGGATAATGGTTTCCCTAGCACAAGTATTCATGAAATTATGACAGACCAACCAGACTTGAAATTATATATCATTCACAAGGTACAATGTTTAGAATTAAGATGTGATAATATTTTCAATGGACAGAGACAAGCAGATGAGAGAATTTCCTCCATTGGGTCCTGGAGAGAATTGATGTTTAGTGACTCTGAGCAGACATTTTATATACCTGTATTTCAGTGATTAAGAACAAACTGCATGGTCTCCAACAGTTTTGATATCAAGTATCTCATACTTTAGTAATTTATAGAATCCTTAGCTGTGCACTTACAGCAATCAAAAAGGCTGTAAAATCATAGAAATGTTAGCACTTGAGAAGGCCATTCAGTCACTGCTCGTGTCATATTTGCTCCACTAAAGCTTGCCTCTCCAATACAGTTCTTCCAAAAAGTTTCATATCTCTATTGTTCAAGTGATTATCTAATTACCTTTATTGACTTCAACATGATTCGTAGCAAGTTTGCCCATCCTTACAACCCTTTGAATAAAAAAAACCTAACCTCTCCTCCCTTAATGGTTTTAGTAATAATAAGGTTATGCCCTCTTCTTGCTCCAGCACCTTAGGGCTTCCTCCTGACTTGAAAGACACTATGCAAATGTAATTTGTTATTGTTGAGTAGAACAGAAAAAAACTATTTCATTTCATCCTGGTTTGCATGAATTCAGTGAGTTGTAACCAAGCGGAAGAAACAGAACATTAGAGGCAAGATGAAACATAGTAGACATGACAGAATGTTATATTTTCTTGTTCTCCTTCTATAACCATCGGTAAAACAACTTGCATTTATATAGAGCCCTTCACATAGGATAATATCTCACAGGACTTTACAGAAATGAGGTTGGACAATAAGAATGGAGGAGGAGGATAGGGGAGAAAGATGATTGAAAGCACAGTTGAAGAGGAGTTATTTTAGTCAGGATGTAAAAAAAACAATGGTGTGGGGGGAGCGAGTCAGAGGGGTAGATTGAAGGAGTTCCAGAAGTGAGAGGCATAATTGCTAAAGGCTTGGCAGATTCCGACCTCCAGCCCGAATCTGCCCAATGGAGGGAAGCCGGATAATTGACCTTGTGAGAGCATGATCCAAAATGTGACATTGCACGGTAGCTCCATTCCTTGTACTATTTTGCTCTTAGTTCATGGCGTTATATTAATGTATTTTGGATCTCTGCAAATGACAAATCTCCTAAAACTATTATGTTCAAGCGCTCTAGACGCCACCCCGGGTAAAGGACGCTATATAAATACATGTCGTTCATCTGGATTTGTTTGCTTTGAAGATTTCAAATAAAAATATGTGAAATGCATTGTTTAAATAAGTGGAGCAATATGCAGTTGATTTATTCATATTTCCTAGTCTGGCCTGTTATTTTCAGGTTTGTAGAAGGGTTGAAATTATTGTAAATTTTATGTAATATCCCAGTGAAATTGCAAATTATTATGAAGCATGGAAATATCAGGATAGATTCGGTAATTGAATGCAGAGGTTACAAAATCCCTATTATACAGAGAATCAGAAGATTAGACCGCCTTAGGATATGAAATAGTAAAAAAAAATCTTATTATACAGTGCCTTTTGCAGATTAAAGAGTTATATAACTGGTTAGACCCTAACTCCATGTACAATTTCTGCTTGTTAAAGTCAGACTCCTTTCCACTGTAACCTATTTTCATGTATAGAAAAAGCTTTTTAATTGGAGTAAGTTGCATGTTGTAATATAAAATTAAATCTCTATCTTCAATTTATGCAACCCCAGTTATTGGGGCCTAAAAAGTAGTTCACTACTGGCAATTTACCGAGTCGCTAATAGACAATCCCGTTTGCTATGTTATGATAATCGACTCCTGTACATTAATAGGGTTGCTATTGGAGTCACCAAACTGACACATGTTATGTGATGAACCAACAAGCATTACTTTCATTTGATATCTATTACTGGGGCTAAGCATTCGTTCGAAGGAGTAACTAACCTATTAGTCCTCATACCGGTAGTGTTCCAGAATGCAATAGTAGTATCTGTCTGTCTAGAATGAGACCAAGAACTACCAAAGAATCTTACAGATTTCAGTGGCTCATGAGGTACCGTTTAGACAGTCACTAGACATACATCGGATGCATTGGCGGCTCGTAGATGGATAAGGAACAGCTGGTTTCCATTCTCACCAAGAGTGCTGTGGGCAAATTTGTACGAGAATGTGGAATGCCACAAGGTGATGCGCTTTTGTGGACATGTGGATATCGACAAGTGTAAATTGCGATTTAATATTGATATTTTGTGAGCTCATGAAGAGTTCAGGGATGGCCTAAACTGTTCAAAAAATAAATATATATTCTAAGTACTACAGCATACACATAAAACAAGACTGATGCATTGGTTTTTGAACCTGACACCCCCCTTGATCTCAAAACACACTTCAAATGTATATCCATTATTGTTTAATTATCATACAGTAGAGAAAGAACAAGTACACACTTTTGGAAATATATACGATTACTACAACTGCCAAATAGTAAGATTTTTTCCATTGTATCTTTTACAAGAACTGTTATCAGTGATGCTGACAAGCATCTTACATAAAGATCTTTCAACAGCAGAAGTTAGTTAATATAAATAAAAAGTGAGAATTTTGAGCAAAGTATTGCACAAAACGATACACAGAAAATAAACCAGTTTTAAACATTTTTAGTTTGAAAACTAAGCTATTGGATCTTGTACTGCATTGTAACTTAGTAAATGAATTGGAAATGTCCATACAAGCAATAAAAATCATAAAACATAAGTTCTATGTTAGTGTTTCAAAGTAAGAATAAAAGACGGGTTCTTGGAAAATAGCTGCTCTTTCATTTGCATAACATTGAAACATTTATTATGTGGTCTCTCTTCCTCAAATATTAACATTGCAAGCATTACACATTAACTATTTTTAGTGTTGATTAAATATGGAGCACAGAGCAATATGGCATAGACCTAAAGGCAGATCTGCCGCCAATGCTTTCTGCTGGGGGAAATCTGTATTGGGGGGGGAAACGATAAAGTACCTGAGAAAAAAGAAAATTGTAGAAGTTCTCTAAAGTACAACAGTTATAAATAAATTTGGCTAAAAGTGACCCAAAATATAATTAGCTTTCAACCTCGTTACTACTTAAATTAATGCAAAAGAAGTATTTTTATTTTTGATGCCTATCCATGATAGGCGGGGGTTTCCATAAAACATTAGTGGAGCTGCTAAAATGTCAATGGAGTGGACTAACGGAGGCACCAAATACAAGCTCCCGGTCTGACTAACCTTTCAGTCGATCAAATCCGCAGGCAATACCAGACCAGGCAGAGACCCCATCACATAGAAATCATTCTCTTCTCTGCCAACTCCAGCTGGCAGCCCACTGTCACTCCTGCATTCAGATAACTTTTTCAACTGGTGTTACAAACACATTTACAGTGCATATGGTTAATACAAAAAAAAAGAAAATAAACAATGTCAAAAAAAATAAGATGCTGTAAGATCGTATGAGCGAGATATGTGACCTTTACGGAATATTGATTGGTTCCAAATTTCACAGATGATTGGCAAATGCGTACAGGAACGTACGTACCTGTGTCAGTTCAAACATGGAATCTCCAGTGCGATTGCAAGTGCAAACTGAAGTTGCTGTATTCTGGGAAGGGATTACTGAGTTAAGGGGTATATTTATTTACATGGCAGATGAAAATCAAATAAAATGAAAATCATTGTTCTTGCACAAAGGGTGGAGTGCTCTAACTTTTTAATCTTGTCGCTTCATGAACGGATACAACAGAAAAGTCTTTCCTTCAAAGGGTGCTGGATTTAATTTAAGTCTTGTATGTACCAAAATCTGATGAAATACTGAAACAGTGTACAGAATCGATCAGTGTTTATTGATCGCTCCATTAAATATATGCTCTGAGAAAAATGCTGAGCAGGAAAGAGCAAACGACCAGTTATGTGAAATGTTTTGAGAATTTCACCCAATATGCTTCCGGAGTAATCTGGTTATCCAGCCATGAAACTTAACCGACAGGGATGAATAAAATACTCAGATTAGATATTTCCCTTCAATATTTGTGGGTCTGCATGTATGTGTGTGTGTGTGTATGTATGTATGTATGAGTGAAGAGTGTACAATTAAGCCATTAATTTATGTTTCCTTTAAAAAATGGTCCTGAATTTGTCAATTTTGTACCAGTTAAAATAATGTTTTTGCTACATTTCGTGACTGCATGGATCCGTCACAAAAGAAATCCAACAATAAATAGCTCCACATCACCAAAATAGTCTCCAAAGTAAAAGCAATTCAAGGTCTTGGAATAAAAGATGACATTATGAATCACGCATATGTTTTCTTTAAACAATAAAATGTTGCACGACTCCATCAATCAATTGTCTGAATCATGTTCTCTCTCAACAGTTGTTCGGTCGATTATCAGGTAAAGCCAATCTCCATTTTTAAATATACTTTCTTGAAACCTTGTAACTATGATCAGTAGCAGCAACTTCAAAAAGGGAAAAAGGGAAGACATCATCTTGTAATGCTCATGATTTCATTGCACTATTTTTGAAAGTGATGCATAAATATTACATTTGAAACTTCCATTCATTCTGGTAAAAGCAGCTACAACAAAGATGGTTGTACATATTATTCTAACTTGGATTCATGCATATTTCAGAATACAACACAGGATTGCCATCTTTTGCCAAATCCAAAACTGAACAAGGGACACGGGATGGGTGCACAGCTTGTGATCTGGAGTTGCCTTTTCCCAAGCATTCAAACTCATTGGAACTAATTAATAACTAATATACAGAAGTAAGTGAGAAAAATGTCCTATTTTAAACTGAGATTTTGATGACTATTGTACATTTTAGGATTCTCCAGACAGCTCAAACATTGCCAGTTCAAACTGGATGGTTACAGCTAAAATGTAGACTGCTCCAGGAGTTGAGCCTGGCGAGAAGAGAATGTAGGTGGAGGCAGGTATTGCTACTAATCACATTTTCAAGTAAAACTCAAAGACAATGTACCGTTGTAACTAACTAACAATTATAGAAAACCGGTAGCTGGCGAATACATTACTGATACTGAAAGGGTAATGCTTGGACTGCTTTTTTCAGTGTTAATTAAAAAAAGAATATAAATTACTTTTAAAAATTCTTTTCATCATTCATGAAAGCCAGATTCCTCACAGTTCACAATTCATCCCCTATTCCAGAAATGACATTCAAGGCATTTTTTGCTTTACGTTCTTGAATGAAATGCTTTACCATTGCTGTATATTCAGTGCTGCAAGTCTCAAATCGTGCAGCTATCACTAATAGTTGCGTAGAGGATAGACGTTTCCAACACAGGAACATACAGGAATTGGGCATGCTCAAAGCTGGAATACATTGTTGGGAACACACTTCTTTACAGTTGATTTTATATTGTTATTTTCTGAAATTACAGCATTCAAAATTGTTTCCCCCTCCCCATACACTTATGTCCAATTTTGAAAATAACCTTTTTGCTCTTTGTCCTTAAGGAAGAGAATGCAACTATTTAAAGCAGAAAACAATTCTTACAACTTAAATAGATTTCCTACAATTCTCAAACAATGTGCAAGAACTCAAAAGTATAAAACCTGTGGAATCAACAGTAGTGTTGCAGGTGGCTTGCAGTTCTTATTTTTCTCCAAATCCCTCCGATGGATTTTGAAAAGCATTCAATGTTTCTTTACAGTGCATCTTGCAGATGTAACTCAGTGTAAGTCACTTTTCAGCTCACCAGTGGCCAACAAGGCACAATCTGTATCACTGTCAGAATCGTAAATCCTGCTGCACAGAATTAATCGGATGTCTTCAATCTTCTATCCTTGCAGATTCCTCCAACAGTCTCCCGGCTGGAATTTTTATTATCTGGAGACCTATCAAGTTAAAACAACATGCTCTGGCGTCTGTTCTTCCCATGGGCTGATAGGGGCACAAGCACAATATCACAGTTACTGTCATGCTTCAGGTATTTATTGTCCTAGAATATCCCAGAATACTCTGGCCAATTTCATAAACTCCAACATAGCTTGTTTGCTCTGCACTTGAATGCTATTTTGCATCAGATGATGCAAAACTGGATGGGTATTGGATTGGAAACTAGGAAGAGAAGCCGATTGTTTAAAATTAAGCTATTATAAAATAATTTTGGCACATCACATTCATGAACAGAAAAGTTGGTTCTATCCCAATTTTTCCCAATGCTCTCCTGTAAATAACACATCCTGGTTTCAGTTCCACAGGTGCTTGCAATCCTTGTCCAAATCATCAAGTTCTTTGTTTTGTTAGAAGCAAGGGAGGGGGTGCATTCAGGGAATGTTACACAGATACAGTGCTATACCTGGACAGCAAATATCAGCAGACAATTTAAATATGTGGCGTATCAAAGCTGAACCCAATTCTGTTCCCAACCAATGTCCATACATCTACACTCCCATCAGGAGTCACAAGCTTAGAAATTAGGAGTGTGAAGCTCTCTGCCCCCAGCACAGGGACATTAAAGGATAATTTTAAGTGCTCCACTGTTGCCCTGGCTGAGATCAGCTAATTCAGCACATGTCAAGCAACGATAGTGTCGATCTGCATTGGGTGTTCATTCCGCCTCACAAGTGACTGAGATGGCGAGACACACGATAAAATCGGCTGACATTCAGGTCATCAGATCATCATTGATGTGATTTCCTGTGTTCTGTGCATGTGTAGGAAGTGATGTTGGTTGTGATTTGACCTGGCAGGTGGTAATTTTTCAGTGTGTGGGATTTTTAACACTAACATCCCTCAACTTGGTGAGCACAACTTGTCCCTAAGACCATTTTCAGCTCGGCATGCAATCTACTCTTCAGTTTCTACTGTGGCTTTCCGAACTGAACACGAGGAGGGCAAGACTGAAAACTACTTTGAATTTATTTCCCTTCCTCTGAGAAATTCACCCTCCCAAATATTTGTAACAAACCATAATGTGGAAATTGGAGAAAATGCAGCCTCAAGTCCTACAGTTTATGAGCAGAATGTTATAATGCGAACTCTATTAGTCACATTGCCACTTGACTTTTCAATTTTCATGCTAAAGTATATCATGTATCTTCATGCAAATATCTAAAGCAAGAAGTTGTTTCTCACAGTACACAACAACCCATATTAGTGCATAGATACTAAAATGGAACCTTTTTCAGTCAGTAGAAAGAAATGTCATATGTCAATGGAATTGTGATTTGCTGAAAATGGTCTGGAAATACTGAAAGCTAGCAAAAGAAGCCCAATAAGCTACCAAATAAAAAACATTACCATAAAAAGGTAGGATTAGGGAGAACAAAATCCTGTATTTTGGGGGGGGGAAATGGGAGATGGTGAGAAATGCGTGAAATTGGCAGAAGTTTAGAAAGACAGGCCTTTTTTAAAAAAAAACTAAAGTATTAGGCAAATAGAAGCAGTCAAAAAAAATCAGAATACATGAAAGTGAAGAGATAAATAGATTTTTTAAAGTTGATCAAGGAAATAAAATATGATGTAGCAAATGCTTATAATGGGAAGAAAGGAATGAAAACTGCAAAAGGAGGAAATTAGATAGGAGGATTGAAAGGAAAGAAATAAAGAAATGGGATTAGCTGCTCAGGCATGTCAAAGCCACAGTAAAAATACATAAAGAATTTATAAAAATATATCTAATTTCAATTGAGGCAGCCATGGTATTAGTTGCTTAAATGCAGAATTAAGTGCAACACCAATGTTTTTTTTTTACAAGCAGCGAGTAAATATGAGCGAATATTATTAATGCTCAGCCAACATTCTCATCAGAACAATTTTGGATGCAAAATGACAGTTCAGAGAGCCATGGTTTACGCATTCTTTTCAGACTATACCAGAGTGACATTACCTTGGATAAAGATACAAAAACGACTGATTAAGTTCTGCTCTTGCTCCTCAATGCTGCATAAAAATTAAGGATGCAATAATCGTAAATTTGTCATTAATGGACAAAAACACAGGCATTCTGGATATATCCCCATGTTTTCATCCAAGGATACATTAAAACCTACCTTTACTGGTGCCAACCCACTAGTAATGATTTGGTGCTATTGTGTAGCTGCAGACATGAAGGTTTGATCTTACATGTGGATACAGCTGTGTGCAATTTACAGCAGAGCAACAAACACAAGCTTAAAATGTCCGATTGGAGTTGAGGGTTCCGACTGTGCAATTGTATTGAAGCACAGAAGACTCCAGCTGTAAAAGCCACCGTGCTTTCACTTCTTAAAATTCAGGATTTGTTTTAGATGAAAGGAAAACGCATTATTTGAAAAAGTAAAATGCTCCTACAACATAAATTTGCATTTTATGGCAACATCTCTTGCATTATTCGGCTTTCATTACGAAAATGGAACATCCAATAAATTGAAATTGTCCAAACATTCCCTGAAATTTATACAGTCCTCAATGAAAGCTGCACAGCATCTTCTTTTCAATTAAATTTTAAATAGAAGGGAAAGAAAAATGGAGGCAATAAACAGGCCACACTGATCACAGTAACTAACTCTGGAGATTTAACAGTGAGCCTTATATTGCTTTATCACAAGGGGATTAAATAACTCATGACAGCCTGCTTCTGACAAATTATCTTGCCCAATCTGTATATCATAAAACATACAGTTTAAAATTGATTCCCCTGAAGACCTGTCTGTGGGTAAGTAGTTTAACAGAATTGTGGGAAATATGACAACTGCATGGTTAATTATGATGATTAAAAATTATGGGTTTAATAAAAACAACAATAATCCTTGCAATTGGTAAAGCGCCTTATCACAGAGTTGAGACTTCTCAAAGAGAACTTCACAGAATACACTGTAAAGTGAATTGACTGTGTATTTTGTGGATGAAACAAAGTGTGAAGAATAAGAAACAATAATACCTTTGAACAATTTTTTTNCAAAGAATGAATGTTTTTCAGATCCATTTTTCTTTTCCCTCCGCTTAAAGTTTCTCTGTACTTACAAACATTTACCCAGTGAGTCATCTGACCTATTGTTCCAAGCTATTGGTTGTATCTTTGCGTTGTAAGCAAATAGTGTTGGGCGAGGTGACTTAGGTGCCATGTAAAATAATAGTACCTGGTAATAAGTCAAAAGAAAAGAATTCTATAGCTTTGGTAAAGTGAAATGTTGGCATTTCCACAGTCCTTGATTTCCACCTTTTATTTATTAACATTAAACTGTGCAGAAACTTACCTGACTCTGGGTAGGAGGAAGATCGATAACCAGGATCCTTCTGCAACTGAATCTCCTTCAGTGAAAATATTGAGGTCGCTGTAAAATTAAGATTGAAAACGTTTTCATTTTTCTAGGCATTGGAAAACCTTCGAACAGTGCAGCCAGTTATATAGCAATAGCTATTCCCCACATAACGATCTTCCTAACGATGTCACTACGGGGAGTGGTTAAGTGGTAGTTTGATGGTTCCGTGCAAGGAAGGAAAACATCAGGGAAGAGAGGGAATCAGAAGAAGAATTAATTTGGCTAAATCAGTAACTGGCTAAAAAAAAGTGAGCTCTTTTCTTATGCCTCCAGATGGTACACGCTGCAGGGACTACAAGGGTATGAGGGGGGAAAAGACATTGGAGAAAAACACTGAACCAAAGTAACAATGAAGAACGAGCAGTGTTAACCCCTTACCGAAGCATAGATACACCCAAATCCCCAATGTGAACACGCAGCGAGATTGAAAAGGCGCTTGACAGAAAAAACATACTGCGAAAAAGTGGTATGATTGGAACTTCGACACTGGAAAAAACACCTCGGGACATAAAGTGTGACTCCTGCAAGGAACCCCCATGTGCAAGACATTGACCAACGGGAGCTCAGTATGCAGAATTTATCAGGAGAGAAAATAAACCCATTTGAAATGGCCAGGGGGCAGTATTCGTGCAAAGGCTTCATTTAAACAACAAATTGCACTTGTAATAGCGCCCTTCACATCAGAAAGACATCCCAGGGCACTGGACAATCAAGGGTTTTGGACCCAAGCTGGGGTTTGGGGTCAGAAGGGGAGGAGGGCAGGGGTGTGGGGGTGGGAGGGTAGTCGAAGGCACGGTCAAAGAGGAAGGTTTTCAGACAGGGCTGGAAGGAGGCAAAAGAGGGGAGAGACAGAGGGATTGCAGGATTGAGTTCCAGAATGTGGGGGCAGAGATGCTGAATGTCCGACCGACAATGGTGGGGTGGGAAGTGTGGGGGACCTGAAGCAGGTCAGTGTCCACCAAGCGGAGGGAGCGGACAGGCTGATATGGGGTTATGAGGTTGGAGAGGTTGGGGGGGGAGCCAGACCGTGGAGGGCCTTGAAGGTAAGAATGAGGGTTTTGTACGTGATTCTCTGAGGGATGGGGCACCAGTGAAGGAGAGGACACGAGCTACAGAGTTCTGAATAATCCACGGCTTGTGGAGGGAAGAGTTGGGAAGTCCGGTGAGCAGGCAGTTGATGTCGTCAAGCCGGAACGTAATGAAAGTGTGGATCAGGGTCTCAGCGACCTGCGGGGTGAGGCAGTGGCGGAGGTGGGCAATGGTGCGGAGGTGAGGTAAGGTGGAATGGATCACGGCACGAATGTGGGGTTTGAAGGACAGCTGAGGGTCGAAAAGGACACCGAGGTTTTGGATTGACTCGGTGATGTGGGCAGCCCTGGATGATGATAGCCCTGGATGATGATAGTGTCAGCGGCTGAGGTGATGAGGCGTTGCCGGAAGCCAAGCAGGAGGGCCTCTGGCTTGCCAGCATTGAGCTGGAGGACGTTGACTCTCGTCCAGGACTTGATGTCAGGTCTTAACGCTGAATTAAAAACACACAACTAAAATATTTTAAGAGCCGAATGTTCTTTGCTTCTATATTAGTTTTCTCTCAATTACTGCCGACCAAAGTAAATAAAACAGGATATAAACCACAGACATCAAAACATTGATTCTCATACATTTTTCATATGGAATTCGGATTTCTGCAATTAAAAACATTTTAAAAATGACAGTGATCCCAACTTTCATTGTTTAGTTTCGAGATTTAGAGGAACAGAAATATTGGAAATCTAAAATGATATACTTACTATCTGACAACTCGAGAATCTTGTCCCCAAAACTCTTGAAATATGGCTGCTTCATACCCTCCTCTGCTGAACTTCTCTTTTTAGCTTCAAACTGCGGAGAACATATAATTAACCGGATTTGGTGCAAATTTCAATCTGATAGTTTCACAACAGCTATTGAGCACGTTTCTGATTCAAGTGACCATTTTATCACTCTTGATGCAGCTTAATGGCTCACAGGAACAGCATGGGTTACTGACTGGTGAAAAACAAATATTATAGCAGGGCAGAAATCTATAAGTACAGCAAATGTAAATTTTTAAAGCAAAATAACTTTACAGTTAGCCAAGTTTCCATGCCCACTAGTGAGGATTGCTGACTAGGTTTTCCATAAGTAAGATAAGTAATTATAATCTTGCACTTGCTATAGCACCTTTCACGTCAGATGTCAAAGTGTTTCAGTACAATTATTTGAGCTGGTTTAGATATATATTTCTGTAAAACAATAGAGTCATGTCCCAAGTTTTTAAATCTTCCCGTGATATAATACATTTGTCCAATTAAAACTTGCCTAAAGATTTTAACCTTTGGGGGAAAGAGGATGTCTATTTCTATCGATACCCAATGTTGCACAGGAAAAATAAAACGCCCATTGAGATAAAGATAAAGCTTTAGTGAGGAGAAGAGGAAGCAGAGACTGTCCTTTCGTAGCATATGAGTTGAGTTGGCAAATTAGGTACGTGATTCTCTTACCTGCAGAAGCTTTGACAATAGATCAATGCCATCATTGTCCACCCTGTGTGAAACATCAGAGAGAAATATCAGTCCCTGGAAATTTGACACAGTGCGATCGAAATTCTGTCCAGAACATTAATTATGTAAATTAAGTTGGTTAATGTAATTTGTAGAGATGACGTGGTTGACTGTATTTTGGCCTCGACATTTTTCGTTGAATACTGTGTGCGCGTGTGTATGTGGCTGAAACATCCAGGTGGCAATTATCACCTCACTGTGTTTGTTGAACAGTGTCATCCTAAATTGGCTTTGATCTTACCATCAGATTTTGACGCTGCCGGATTAACAATGAAACATAATGTAATTTTCAGACATTAAATGTTTTGATGCAAAAAATTATTGGGGACCATCATTAAGTGCCATTTGATTCCTGGAATTCCGACCCGCTATTTTTCAGAAATTATCCATTTAAATGCTACAACAGCAAGTGGGTCACAATTATCTGTCTAGTCGTTTCAGATAACCACACATAATTCTCCATTTCAATTTAGTAAGAGGGAAACAGGAAGGTTTCAATCCCACTGGGTGAAAAATAAGTCAGGTTATTTGATAAACTGATATAGATTGATCAGGGATGCAGCATGATCAATTTACAGCAGGGATTTTGTTAACATAAAACTGGAATGGAGGAAGAAACAGAACGCTCAATTATCTACACAGTGCAGTATAAGTATGCTTAAGATCCATAACCTCGGTCTCATTTATTCTAAAAAGTCATTTTAATTAACGGCAAAGCTCGACACAAATATTCACGAGATGAAAGGCATCCTATCACACCTTGGTGCATGGTTGATGAGCGGCTCTGCCTTATATCTGGGGAAATTATATGCTTTGAATTCCTCGCTTGATGAGATTCCTAGCCACGTCTCCTCAGTTGGAGTCCCTGCAAATCAAAGGCAGAAAATTACTTCCATCTGGTTGTGACGATGGAGATTTAATAAATCAGTATAGTTTAAAAGGGAACCGTAGCATTCTCCCACCTAGAATTCTGAATATCAAATGCAATTCATCTTCCACGGTCGATCCTGGAAAGAGAGGGCGCCCTGTTGCCATTTCATAAAATATGCATCCAACACCCCTACAGAAAATCACAGGACACAAGCCATCTCAGAAACAAGCATCAACAAGTAACAGATAAAATAAAATGCCTTTTTTTTAACTTAATAGTAACTATAATGATTATCCGTCCACTACGATACTGAGATGTACAGACCAGGATGGTTTTAGGTTCATTTCCTTGTCCAGGTAGAGTTTGCCCATCTCCTCTGGGACATCGGTGGAAGCACCACTGAGGTTGGTCTCAGTGTCCATCAAACAAAAGAAAAAGGCTTATGGTAGGTACCAGCAAGGGTCACTGGAAGGAATATAGAAAGCAACAAAAAGAGAGCAAGAAAATACAGAATATGAAAAAAAATAAAGATGGTATCAAGGATAAAAGCAAAAGTCTTTACAAATACATCAAAAGAAAGAGAGGTGATAAAGGAGGAGGTGAGCCAATTCAAAAAAAGATACAGGTATGACAGTCGTGGAGGGTAAGGACCCGGCAGAGTCAGTTTGTCTTCACTGTGGAGATAACAAATAGAGCCATAGCTTTTCATATTGTAAAAATATGATCTTGAACCATCGAAATTTACAGCACGAGACCATTCGCCCATCGTGCCTTCACTGGTTCTCTGAAAGTATCCATTTAATCCCGTTCTCCTGCCTGCTCCCCGAACCCTTTTATATTTCTCCTTTTCAGATGTCTATTGAATTCCTTCTTAAAAGCTAATATGGATTCTACGTCGACCACAGTTCCAGGTTTGGCATTCCATGTTGTAACACCATCTGCGTAAAATAATTACTCCTAAACTCTCCTTAATGCTTTTGGTAATTATCTTCAATCTGTGCCCTCAGTTACTGACTCACTGACTGTGAAAATTATATTTCCCTGTTTACTTTATCAGGGTCCATCAAAATTTTAATTACCGCTGTCAGATCTCCTCTCACCCTTCGCTGTTCTAGGCAGACCCAGTTCCTTTAATCTTTTCTCTCAAGTAAAACCTCTGATTCTTCGTAACATCCAAGTGAATCTCCTGCGCACATTTCTATAACCTTGCTGTTCTTCCTAGACTGGGGTGCCCAAAACTGGATCCAATATCCAAACTGCAGGTTTATGAGCATTACCTCATTGCTTTTGTTTTGTGAGCTCCTATTTATAAACTTACAACTGACAGCCTAGAAGCAGAGTCCTGGATTGAGAACCTGGATTAAGCAGTTGGTGTTGAGTAACTATGGTACGCGGCATTGGACTTGGACTTCTAGAACATCCAGGTGCAATCAACCCGCTGGCAGTCTCAGTTGTCTGGCTTCTAAGTCAGATGGGTCCACAGTATTCTAAAGCACTGCTGACGACAGACCAATAAGCCTAGCTCGTTGGCAGGATTTGGAAGGGCTTGTGTCATACACCTGGCTGAAAGCAAAATCGTTTCACCGCTTTGTTAGCAGTAAAAGCTTTATTCCCGATCATTGACAATACTTATATTGAGCACAAAACACTGAGTCTGAATGAATATATCCAAGCAGGTTTTTGGGGTGAATCTTCCCTGATGTTTAAAAAGAACCAAAATAAAGTGAACTTTTTCCCTTCCACACTGGTTCAAAACAGCTGGAAAAAAGCGTATATAACAGTTAATCTGCTGGTTTTATTTAAGCAAGTTCCACTGAAAATTTAAGTAAAGAAAAAAAAAACAGGATCTAATTAAATGATGATTATCCTGAAAGAAAGGGAGATAGAATTCACTGCAGTGTCTTACCACATATCGATTGGCGTAGAATACTCTGTGGAACCCAGAAGAACATCAGGTGGTCTGTACCAGAGTGTCACCACTTCATTAGAATAGGTTTTTGTGGGCACTGACTTGGCTCTGGCTAATCCTGAAGGAGGACACATCAATGTTTACATCAGACTATAGATCCGCATACAAAAATACATATATATTATACACATACACAATAGCTATAATAATAATAAATCGGTCATTCAAAAATATTTTCTAGAATCTTTTAGTTAAATCATATTTGAACATTTTTTTCATTTAATTTCATAACTTCTCCTAACGTACCAAAATCTGCCAACTTCAGCTCGCCTTTCTCGTTTATTAGGAGATTCTGAGGTTTTAGGTCTCTGTGTAGAACTTTCCGTCTGTGACAATATGCCAAACCTCTCAGTAACTGAAACAAAAAAATCTGCAGGCAAAGAGAGAAATGCACATTGCACGTGAATAAAAGAATACAAGTACAACATCAATTACAGCTTTGAGAAAACATTAAAGACCTGCTGGATTAACAATGTACTCCAGACTGATTGATTCTACTCTTGCAAATCCATACACTGCATTATTTAATTCAACCTGTTTATATAGCACAAAAAATTCTATAAAATGTAGTTGCACTTGTGGTGCATTTCATGATGATGCAAAGTGTTTAGCAGTTTAAAATACATTCACGGAATCAAATCATACTTAACTGGCGGTTCTCAAACAGTACCGCATTTCCTAAAACCTTGTGATGCAACTGTGAGTTGAGTTTGCAGGGATTATTATTTTCAATTCAGGCACAAGGTGAAGCTTTTCAATGCAAGTACAATGACAACAATTAATGTTCCAGGAAACAATAAGTGACTGGGATTATGTCTGCAGGTGCTGGAGTCTCACTTTATGAATAGACTTGTTTCAAATCAAAGAATTTCAGAGGTTTTGAACCTGAAGTTGTATTGACCCAACACATTCACAAACACTGTCACTGATCAGGCAGGACAGGTCTGCAACAGGACAGACACTGGAATTGATGTAACTGAATACTAATTTGTACTATTATACATAGTAAATACAACGGAAAAGAAATTACAAAGATAGATTTAACACCGGATCTCCTGATTTCTTATACATTTTTAGTTATAAACAGAAAAATATTTTTCATGGACTATCTCTGCTATTACCACTTGCAAGATAAACGGAGCCGCAGTGCAGAATCGCAAGCATTGAAGGGATTATTATTATTGCTGCCATTAATAAAAGCCATAACCCAATGTAATCTGTATTGTATGACGGTTGCAGCAGCTGTTGAATCAACACTGGGTGAAGAATGTGCAATTCTACTTTTCAAAAAAGAGAAGCAATGAGGAATGAGAAAATGGGCAAGAAATACTACAGCCTCCACTCGGCTTGGGGACAATTTGAGATCACACTCCTTTATCACTCCTCTCATCTCACTAACGTTGTAAAAACAATCAAAAAGTCTGAGATCTAGAAATTGTATGAAGAATTACATACGCCCTGGAGTTCAGCAAATGTTGGGGTTGACGAACAATGTCTGGAAACGTATTTATTGTTGAACTGATACGTGAATACTTGATCCAGTGGTGATACAACAATGTATAATTCATACAGGAATGAAAGTGATTAGTGAATTTATTTGACGGTTTTAAATCTACTAAAAGTACAGTCCATCCCATGTATATCCATACCTTACTTCTACCAGACTTGTCTAATACACGTTCGAAATAAGTCACTAATCGCATCATGATTTGCTCAAATATTCATTTCAAAAATGTTTAGAGTGATAGTTTTCGATGACACAAAGTAATCATGTAATCAACACACAATTCTCCTTTTCGTTTATAACTCGACGCATCTGCTTGAAACACACTTCAATGGTTTCCCCACCTTCACGTTGTGCATGCTCATTATGTTCCCACAGTCATCCATGTACTGCTTCAGATCTTTTTCCTGCAACAGGACAGAACCGTCATCAGTGACAAGCTATAGGACACACATAAGCAGAGTTGTGTGTCATGTACTGAAACTTTTGTGTCGTATGTAAAAACAAGCTCTAATCCAAAGGGAATCAGAGTGTGACACATCTCTTACATCAGAAGAAATGAAAACTGTTCGGGTGGAGGAAAAGGGAATTTGACCGTTTCTGCCAGTTAAACAGCTATAACCAATAGATGTGCATCACACTTAAGGAACACTAAAACTATTTTTTATTACAAGATACAAGCCTGGATGTTTTTCAGGATCTATTTCCTCTATCAGAAAACCAGAGGAGAAAAATCGGAGGAGCAAATTTAACACAAAAAGTCCTGGGTGAATTCATTGGAAATCAGGCTCTATCCTAGAACACCACTTATCACATGAATCCCTATATCTGCCTGGCTACGATGCTGGTTCCGTGAACAAGCACGTGATGTGACAACGTGCACAAGTAAGCCAATTTCAGAACCAGTAACCTATAAGCGACAACAACCTCCACGCAGGATAGATTCTCGCAGCGCTTAAACACATTGATTCCATGTATATTCCCAGAACTGTGTAATAAAAACAAAAGCAAAACTCCATTTGTATAGCGCCTTCTCACATCGAGAGGATGTTCCAAACAACTCTGATGCTCCTTATCCTATTCCAATGTAAGAATATAAGTTTTGCAGTTTCTCAAATTCTGAGATCACTGGACTGACAGAAAACACTTGGGTTGTTGTCGCGGCAAACTTTAAAGAGCAGGGAGAAGATCTTAAAGAGTAGGTACAAGTCATGTACATATCAGTGTAACAAGCAGCAATACTGAAATTAAATGCAATTCAAACAATGTAGCAGAAGGTTGCAAGCGATAACTTGCTGGAGATTTGACCAAAGCTCTGACTGAATGAAGGCGATTTTCTTACCAAGTACTCAAAGACTAGCGTTAATGACTTTTCTGTGTGTACGATGTCGTGTAGCGTCACTATGTTGGCATGTTTTAGGTCCTTCAGTAAAGACACTGCAATGAAAAATAAGCAGATTACATTTTACATCAATCAACTGAAATCAAATGTAGCGTATTCTGGCATTTCATGAAGCATATACAAATTGGATTATTACAGATCCATACTCTCTATTTATGCTGCAGGCCAAATTTATGTCCTCTATTTTTTTACATCTCTAGCTTCTGTCCAAATAATCTGTCGACTTTAGGCCAGCGAACAACAACAATGACATTGGTTTAACAAATGTTGATGCTCTGATTCCAACCCCCGATCACAGTGCAATTCACATGCACGTTAAATCTTCTTAACTGAAGTTGATTTTACCACTTCATTCAAATTGGTTACCAGAAATACAGAGCAGAAGATTCCCAGGTATATGATTCAGTTTTACTCCGGCGAATGCTTCACTGACTGAACCATTGAGAAATTCCCTTTGCGTTTGAGGATATTAATACATCTGGTCAATCAAATAACACGTGGGATTGTCAACTTCCAGTGTCCAAACTTACTCAACACAATGAGGTAATTTTCATACCTTCCCTGATGGCTGTACAAGGCGCTCCTTCTTCATGCTCCAGGCGGATTTCTTTTAATGCTACCAGGTTATCTGTGAGCTTACTCCTTCCTTTGAAAACTGTTGCATAAGTACCCTGAAAGAAACATGGATATCAATTAACATCAGCAAAGCAATTCGAAAACCTCACTATCAAAAGGAATAGTGCTGGGAATCCAAAGCACGAAGCTGTAATCGAAAGAGAAAGATTGGTGACGGTCGTGGCGCTTGTGAACTCTATGGATAGATTTTAAGGCACAAAGGCACATTCAAGGGCAAGATAAGGCATTATAAAATTGCAAGTGCTTTTCTTTTCTGCCTAACAACTTGCAGTTGTATAGTGTCTTTCATTTGGTTAAGTGTTTCAAAGGGTGGGAGATTAATGGAAGGTGGGTGGGAGATGGGGGTGGGAGATGGCTGAAGGCACAGTTATACAGATAGGTTTTTAGAACGGTTTTGAAAGCAGGCAGGGAGATGTCAAGGCAGAAGGATTTAGAAATAGAGTTCCTGTGAGTGAGGGAGAGCAAGATGGCTGAAACTTGCCAACAGATGCTGGGTCATAGTTACCAAAATTAAATTATATATACAGATATTTAAATTTTCCTTTACTCACCTCTCCTAGTTTATCCAACTTCACATACGTTTCTAGTTTTCCAAACCCAATTTCTGACTGTAAAAGAAAGAAACACTTCAGTTTTAGAAAACAACACGCACCAAATAGCATGTTTCACTTGGAGAACATCTGAAAGCGCTTTACAGAGATGGGAGTGAGCATTGGAGCAGAGTGGGAGATGGGGAAGGGATGGTGACTGAAGATAACAGTCAGAGAGGTAGATTTTTAGATAGATTTTGAAAGCAGAGAAAGGAATGGGGTGGAAGGATTTAAGGAGAGTTCCAGAATGAAGGCTAAGTGGCTGAAAGCTATTGTTCACCAGTGGTGAGGAAACAGGACATGAAGTCCGACTGTTGGCATAACGAGGGTGTGGACAGGAGAGTTTGACCACAGGTTCGTGGAAGAATTTGAATGTCACAATGAGGACATTCAGGCTGATCCACTGGGCATTGGGAGCTGGGAGAGTATGGGGCTGATAGGCTCATAGCTTGTAGGGGAGAGAATAAAATTGGAACCAGGAATGTACAAAGATGTATGAAGGTATTGGGGTCCATTGGTTGCAGCTCTGATCTACAATGTAAAATATTTTTCTTTGTTTTTCTTTCTTTTGGCCAAGATCTACAATACTGATCATTCCATAGTCACTTCCGTTTATTCACTCTATTATTTTCTAATCATTTCCCCAATCTGAACTCTTGTAATCTGTCCATAGCTCAAGGGTCTGAAATCAGGACACTCTCATTGTTGCCATTATCGTCGCTCATCTTTGGTAATTGGGAACATGATGTTCAATGAAAGTGACAATAGCAGAAGGTCAACGCCTGAATTGCTTTCCAAAATCAGTCATTTGGAAAAAGTTGGAACAAAAGATTGGGGATGTTCATTTTTAATCCATCAATTTTTGCCGCAGCCTTTGGCTCAGTGTGAAGCTTACTGGAAATACACAAGTCAATTATTTAAAGCATTACACTCTAAAATAATAAGTAATTAGGTATACCACTGTAGCACTTCAAATAATGTCAAACCGATCATCACACACTACAAACGTTATATTCTTACTCAGTCGTAAAGCATTTGTATCATTGGAAAACAATACTCGGGATGAAAATTCTGTTTGTTTTTAATTATTTACAGAGTTGATATATTTTTATATGCATATTCCCATCGTAATTAATATATCTGGTAGCACCTTCTAAGTGTGAAGCCACAATTAAGCGATCTCACGTGATGCACATCCTAAATCAACTCAAAAAGAGCCTCAAACTTCCACATCTGGAAGAGAAGGTAGACTGCCCTCCCCGAGGACTGCTCATACAGTTCCAACACACACAAGGGCAAGTCGGTGAGATCAATGCATGGGCAGCCTTAGACTATGCAATGAAAACCACGACAACAACTTGCATTTATATAGTGCCCTTCACGCAAGGTAGTGTCCCGGAGCGATTTACGGGATGCAGTCTTTGTTTCCCCCCCGCCCACCCCCCTCCTCAAAGAGTGTGTGCCATGCAACAGGCTGTAAATGTACAGTTTATTCACCTCTCACGCTTCTCATTTATTTTTTGTGCACGTTTGTGTTTGTTTTTCAATCAATAACAATCATTCTAAACATTTAAAAAATAATTAATACTAATCTTGTGAAATCATAACACATTTTAGTGCATTAGTGCCTTCTGGCAGAAATAGGAGGTGGTTGCTGCCGTCAGGATCAGTAAAATGACTTATATTCTTACAGATAAAATCAGCTCGGGTTTATTTGAATAGAGAAATGGGACAGAATTAAAATATGGTGATCAATATATGCCATGTCCAGCTGTCTGGATTCCTACTGACATGACCATCACAAACAATTTTTTGCTTATGCGGAATTAGTGCAAAACCCTTTGAGAATCTTAATAGTATTCTTGATAAATAAATATCAATTGTATTGCCCTGTTCCCTGTTAGCGTGATTTGGAAGTTCTGTCTTGAGCTGCTCCTAGTACTGGCTTCTCAAGCTCCAAAGTAATAAAATAAACTCACTAGAGGGGTGGGGGTGGGGGAGAGATTTTCTAAAGAGTTAATTTGCAACGTCTCATCTTCAGAACTGAACACTCCTCGTTTTAATAAATGGTCAATTTGAATTATGTATTGAAGGAAAGTTGGAGTCTTATCTGATTAGATCACTGGCTACTAATGGAACCAAACTATGTATGCCCTAATACCTGCAATGAATCATTTTCTTCAGCTCTGGAAAGATTGCAAGCACCCACAGACAGCGGTGGTTGCAATAATTGTCCTCTCTCTTTTTTTTTTACTCTCTGCGGCTTTCCGTGACTTGCAGTCATTCTGAAAAGCGATTCTCGTGCCAAACGCCAATCTCTCAGAAGAAGGAAATGGAACGTAACAAACGTGTTTTGTTTCATTGAAGGATTAAAAGTGCTTCCATGCCACAATACCGAGTGTCCTATCGTCACGCAGCTACGCTAGTAAACTGATCTTTAGAACTTACCAGAGATGCTCTACGGAGCCGTCGACTCATGGGTTTGTCAAACGGTGGACTGTTCATGGCAAATTTTTCGAGGTAGCCCTCTGGTAGGCGAATGTCAGCAGGAAGAGACAGTCGTTTGTTGATATCCTGATGAAGAAGGCACAGTTACTTGGAATTCTCTCAATTAGAAAATTAAAGCAATTAAGGTCACTTAACTGAAAGTGAAAGGTGGAGTTCACATGCAGCAGATTCTGCTGTCGTTCGCTGAAGGGAACAAACTTGAGAGAGACGACTGTTTAAAAATAAAATGCTTCGCATTTTTTAAAAAGTTTTCAGCTTGAAGCAAGTTGATTTGATCAAATTCCAAACTCTTCATATGAACTTGTTTATGAAAGAATAACTAAACAAGAAATAAAGCACTGAATGCCAGTGGATCAGGCTGTAATACCACAGAAAACACTGCGTGGTACATTATTTACTTATATCTTTAGTAAGATGCCCCGATTCTAAAGCCAGTTAGGTTTTAAACTGAGGAACCAAACATTTTTACTGTAACTCTAAGGTTCCCCTTGTTGATTCACCAAAAGTAATTGACTTACACGTCAGTCCAGATCACTTTCTTCATGCAAGTCATCAGAATCTTGTTTGCATTTTTCCATGCCATTGCCAAAAGCTCCCAGTTGGGCAGCGTCCTTTCACAAACATTTCCACTTTAAAACAGCAGTTCCTGCCTGAGTCTCGGCTTTGGACCCTATCCCGTCACAACTCAAATCCCACATGGCACCATCTTGAGATAAAACCAAACCCATGTACCAGCAGGTTTTTATTATTGGATTGTGCTATCGCCCTTCAGATCTGCGCAATTACATGCGGGGGAGGGGGAAGAGGAAGAGGTCATCCAGGTTACCACAGCAATGCAAACCTTGATTTGAGAGGTCCAGAGGATGCTGCGTTTTACTTTAAATTCGTCTGGAATTTATGTGTATACAGTAAACCCCTGATAACTCGACCCTAGCTTAAGCTGTCACTACCACTTAAGTCATCTGGCTGTCAATATCCCGGCCACATTTATTTCATGTATTTATGCATGTGCCTAACTCTTCACTCCGGGGAAACCGTCACACAGGCCTTTTTCTTTCAGCGCCTCATTATCAGGAGTTTACTGTACATCAATGTGTAGTCTTTACTCCCTTACTCCCTTGGTTGGATAGTTTTAGTATCTTATCGTTCTATTATTGATTCAAATTTTGATTTGTTCCAATTTCCCCTCCGTCTTCTCCTGATCATCACCAGATCACAGCTCAATCTTAACTATCAAAGCACACCAATCAAATCTATCTTGAATGAATTTTAATTGCTGCCTGTTAGGCCTGAATAAAACATGCTCTGTGTTTCTGAAATTGCTCAATAATTATATTGAAGCATCTTTTTTCCCGTGCAGAAATCAGATGTCGTCAATGTTTCTAACACTTTGTGGGGAAAATGCCCGACTGCTACAAGAATGTAAATTAATTTCCTAGCATGATAGAATCTGATTGATATTATAATTTTAGAAGCTCTCAGAGTAATGGGATTCTATTAGAAAATGATTTGGATTCTGTGACATATTGATTGAACAATAATGTCTTATGTTGAGTAAAAGGTTTCATTAACCTATGATGCCCTGGGCAAAACCTCCGTCTGAACAGATTTTAGTCAATCTAAGCAACAAAAAAAAGCTTAATTACATCGCTCTAAGACTGTCTTCAAATTTTGTTGCGCTACCAATTTTACTGGCTATGTGCAGGAACATAAAACTTTAGTTTTTATATTTTTTAAGAAAAACATAAATTATTTCAGCTTTGACACGAACTGACAAACCAGGGAATAATAAGCTTACCTCTGTGGAAATTCGACGGTGATGATGATTTCTCATTCGCACCCGAACAGGTGATTGCACCTCATCTGATGATGTCCCTGATGCTTGATCACTTTCCCCATCCGATCCCATTTTTACATTTTCATGAACAATTCCTACAGGAAGATAGAAATATGAAAAAATATTCAAACTCAATGGTTTAGATGTACTTCAGTTCGATTAAAATTGTTGATTCCACTTCAGGCTGTTTGTGGGTTATTCCAAATACAAATTTACCGCCGTCTTCATCTATTCAATAAACTTGACAGAGTAAATTCTGCGAAGAAAGCACTATAAGATGTTTCAACGTTGTGATAAGGCATTACATCAAATGAAATGCATTAACCAATAAAGCCAGCATTATTTATTTATGGTTAGTACATCTCTCTGCATCTACAGGAAAATCTAATCATAGAAAATGAAGGTGTGACAGAGATATTGAAAGACTATTTTGCCTCAGTGTTTACAGGGGAGTGTGACATTGAGAAACTGAGTTTAAGTCTACAAGATGAGGTTGTGTAGTATTTAGAAGGGATAATTATAGAAAAGGATGTGGTACCAAAAGAATTTATGGAATTCAAAGTGAACAAATCACAAGGGTCCAGTGGCACGCTTTGGAGAATACTGAGGAAAGTCAGTGTGGAAATAGTAGACTCCCTGACAACAATCTTCCTGACATCCTTGGATACAAAGCTTGTGCCAGACAACAGGAGGGTTGCTAATCTAACACCGATTTTCAAAAGAGACAACATGGTAAGTCAAGTTATGGAAAAAAAAGTGCAGTAAGCCTCAGAGTCTATTATTTTTAAATGCAGAAAATAATCATATTCTTGGAGCGCAAAATGATTAATAGGTCCACAGCGCTGATTAAGTAGCTCAGACAAAATTGTTTTCATCTGTGACCTTGCCCACGTAAGGTACACTCTGGCATACCATTTTCTTTCCAAGTACTTTTTGTTCCTACCGGTGGTCGATACCTATTGCTGATTTGGGCCTTTGCAAAAAAAATAGATTGATGCACATAGATGAAATAAATTTTGTTCAGGTTTCAGTCAGGCAGGGACACAAGCTGGAGCTGACGAGCTACTACAGTCAGTTTCGCAATCGCCATGGAACAAAATCCCTGGATAATAACAATAGCGCATTTATATAGCACCCTTCACGTGGGGTAGCCTCCCAGAGCGCTTGACAGTGCCGGAGTCCGACAACGAGAGGGAGAGGGGGAAGTGACCGTAAACACGGTCTTTAGGCAGGATTTGAAAGTGGGGAAGGAGAGGTAGACGGAAAGGCGGAGGGATTGAGGGAGAGAGTTCCAGAGTGAATGTCATGTAAATTGTAACAACAATATAAATTACAAGAGACAGTAATTTCTGGCCACTGACAACTCTGATGTCGGGAGAAGTTCTGTACAATCCAGAGAGGTTTATAAAAATGATCTTTAGTCTGTACAGATAGATGGCTAAACGCTCACTTCAGCCTGCTAGCAATCAGAAGTGACGGAAGATTAAAATCTGCTGCTAACAGCAATTCCCGTATCTGAAAATCATTGCTTGGGTTGGTTATTTTCCGACTCTTCTGCATACACTCACTTTATATTGCACACCGCTGCCAAAGTCTTACCGTTAGTTGGCAGCACAAGAACGTAAATTTACCACATGTCACTTCAGAGGTCAAACATCACAACATCACAAGATTAGTTCAGATAACGAAGGCCCTTCAGCCCGTTTGACCGTGTCCTTCCAGAAAACCCACCCTACGGTCTTCCTGTCACAGCATCAAGTTCTTTTTTCTCAAATGCATCCAGCGCACTCTCCTCAACCACCCCTTTAGGCAATCTGTTCCAATTGTTAATTGTCCTGAAATTACCCTTTGCAACCCTATCTCGCTATTGTTTCGATATATTGAAAAATATTATTCTGGATTTACGTTCTCATTTGATTTAATGGGTTATATCCTTCCATAAGGTTCTCTCTGAGACATCCCCTTTCAACACGCCTACTGTGTCCAGTCGTTGCTCATGCCTCAATCCTCAACAGTGAAAATCATCCATTGAGAATCTCTTCTGCTCTATCTCTTATGTCACAGCAACCAGAACTGTACACAGTACAGCATATTCTGTGAAGCGCTTTAAGACGTCTCGATGATCTGATAAGGCACTATATCAAATGCAAGGATTATTACTATTATATACTCTTAGGTCCAGTTTGATCAAAGTACTATATAGTTTGATACAGAATGCTGATTTGTTGCAGGCAGCAGAAAAAGTACTTAGCTTAATTGGATACGGATTGCTTTCCCTACTCACAAGTGATTAAAATAAATTGAAGAATGAATTAATGAGATATGGTTCTTTGACGTGCAATCTGTTGCAGTCAGAGAATGCGTGAGAGAGACAAACATACAGACTCAAAAGAGTGAGAGAGAGAGAGAAAGGGCTGGCACATTTTGGTACTGTCATGACTTTATGGTGGATGTTTGTGTATTTTGCATAATTGCACGCTCACAATAGAGCTGGAACCAACTGATGCAGATAATGAGCTCTCTACCGTATTGTAAAAAAAATTTGTCACAGTTAAACTGGAAAAATGTTTGTGATAAATTAACCAGAAATACTAGCAATTGTGTCATGTGCCTTCAAAGTCTGAATAGAGTGCTTAATTGTTGCAGGCAGAAAAAAATAAGAGTGCTTAGCTTAATTGGATACTTGATTGCTTTCCCTTATTGCAAGTGATTAAAACAAACCAAAGAATGAATTAATGAGATGTGTTGATTCTTTGACACGCAATATGTTGCAGTCACTTTTCACCCTGCAAGATTATCAAAGTAAATGTCACTAATATTTTTGTAAATGCCAAATATCCACTTTTAATTGCTCTCAGTTGGTTTACAAAATATCATGGGTAAGATCAGAACGGAAGGGGTTGGGAGGGAGTAAGGAGCAGGTGGAGCACAGACCAATTGGGCCAAATAGCCTGTTTCCTTGCTGCATATTCTATGTAATCTATTTAAATCCATGCAGCATAATGACTAATGTGGAGGAAGCTACATGACTGCAAGCATTAATAAAAACTAATAATAATTTTCAGAGGATATGATTCCGCTAAATAAATAAATAAATAGCCGAACGACAGCTTTGGAATTCCATGGCAAATGTGTTAAGTAGCGTATTTATATTGCAGTCGTAAAATGAAGGCTTTCAATAAGCATCACTGTTATTACAATATTTCATACTGCATTTTGTTTGCTGTTCCTGCGGAATTCCTGTGGCACACATCCTCCAGGTTCTTTACATATGCGAAACCAAAGCTGCATCAATACACATGCATATTGTACCATATTTTAGGAGTAACATGCTATTGGCAGCATATGTTTACAAGCCAAGCAGATGTGGCAGCACTGAAGGCATAGCTCAAAGGCAGTAAAACACAGTGGTAAGGAACTACGGTGGCACATGTGCCAATGTATTTAGTATCAGATGGTACGTCAGACTGTCCAGCACCTTGGGACATCCTCCCAAGATGAAAGGCACAACATAAATGTACATTTCTGTTGTTCTGCACTGTTGCGTGATGTATTGTGTATTGTATTGACACTGTATTGTGTGATGTTATCAGCAACAGAAAGATAAAAGTAAATAACATATAATTGGCATCCTTCCAAAATATCCACCCTACATTCAGAGCACCAAGCTGATTTTAAAATGATTCAAGTCTAACTTCCAGCATCCTCGCCTCAACCATCTTTCCTAGTAACCTGTTACAGTCATTAATTACCCTTTGGGTAAATAAATCCTTCCCACTGTCGCTCCCAGAATTGTCTTTTGCAATCCTAAACCTGTGGCCACTTGTTCTACTGTCTTGAAGGTATGTAGAAAGTATGTTGGCTGCCATGTTCACCTACAAAATACACAGTCAGCGCACTTTATACTAAAACGGACCACCGTCCTTTCTAAATAAAAAAGTAGATTTTTACGATGGCTTCACACGTGTAAATCACTGAAGTCTGGCTATATATTTTTGCAATTTTGCATAGGGTTTTTAAATATGGAGCATTCAGCAGTGCTTCACAGTAAATTTCTGGATAGATTGTAGATCAATGCTTTCATCTGCAGATGCTCTCAATCTGGCATCTGTCAACTCCCACAATATGATTCACTTCAGTTTGCTGAATGCATCTAATTGCCCCACACCCACTGCCACAATTTTAACAGCCTTCTTGTCACGTTAGGCTAATCTTAGTAACCTTGAGACTGCGACCTTCACAGGAACAAACACCAAAAGGAATATTGCAGTGATCAAGTCAGTAAAAATGCAACTCCTTAACCCATTCAGTGGGCAACATCATTTTTGGTTAGCAAAGTAAATGCAGAAAAAATGAATTTCCTGTCAAAATGTTTTACTGTGAATGTCAAGTTTAATACAAAATTACATTGTAAAGCGCCTTTCACGTCGGGGGAATGTCCCAAGGCACTGGACAGTCAGGGATTTAGACTCAAGCTGGGGGTGGGGGAGAGTTGGTATCAGAGAGGATGGAGGGTAGGAAGGCGGCCGAAAGCGCGGTCGAAGAGGAGAGTCGAGAAGTGCCTTGAAGGAGGCAAGGGGGAGAGCGAGGCGAAGGAGAATGTGGGATGGGCAGAGAGGCTGAAGGTCTGACCGCTGATGGTGGGGGGGCCGGGTAGGGGACGTGGAGTAGGCCGCTGAGCAGCGAGAGCGGACAGCTTCATAACGTGGAAATTAAAATAAGATGAACATGGAATCCCAACAGAGTTATGGTATGCATTTAAAACCAGGAACATCTTGCACATGATGTCCGAGTGTGGTCAACCAGTCTTGTCTGGCAAAAATTCTTTGTAAGGGATCTGGTCCTAGCTTGTGGAAACTGTATCCTCAGAAGATACAGTACCCTTTGTAGTGCAGAGTTACAAAAAAATTAGTTTACATCTGCAATTCTACTTTGCTTTAGTGGCTCTCCTTAGAGACGCTCAGAAATTGGCATCTTTGAGCATGACAGCAGGCACCCAAAGAACAAAGATTGTAGTTGGTCACCTGCACCTCGCAGGTATTGGCTCAATAGGCAGAAACAGGAAACCAGCCCAAAAACAAGCCAGAAGCCTGTA